TTGTAAAATTTTTCTCAGTGTTTTCGATTGAAACCTTTGAACTATTTCTATGTTTGAGTTGGAAGTGGTTCCCCAGAGTTGGATACCGTAGGTCCAAATAGGTTTCAATATAATTTTGTATAAAAGTAATTTATTTTCAACAGATAATTTTGAATTTCGACCAATGAGCCAATTTAGTTTGTTTGTTTTTAAATTTAAATGAAGTCGTTTGTTCCAAATGTGTGAATGCCATGTAAGCCGTCTGTCGAGATGCATACCAAGGTACTTAACTTCGTTGGATTGTGGAAGCATGACATTATTCAATGTTACTGGGGGACAAGTTCTTGTAGACATAGTAAATGTAACTTGAACGGATTTGGTTTCATTTACTTTAATTTTCCAATTCTGTAGCCACTGAGACAAATCATCTAATGCAGCCTGAAGGTTTGATGATGCCAGAATAGGATCCTGATTTGATGATAAAAAAGCAGTGTCGTCTGCAAATGTTGCAACCGTAATACCCTGAGTACTTGGAAGGTCATAAGTGAACAAAATATACAAAATAGGTCCAAGAACACTGCCTTGTGGTACACCTGATTCAATTTCATGCACATCTGTAACTATATCTTGATATTTAATTTGAAAAAAGCGTTTGGACAAATACGATTTCAACACTCCATAGTATGTATGGGGCAACAAAGTTTTAATTTTGAACAATAATCCTGTGTGCCAGACTTTATCAAACGCCTGGGCTACGTCCAAAAAAGCAGATGAACAAAAACGTTTATTTTCTAGATCTTCCTTGATTACATTCACTATTCTATGCACTTGCTCAATGGTAGAATGCCTTCGGCGGAATCCAAACTGATGGGAAGGCAACAATTCTTTTTCATCAATTATAATTTGGAGTCTTTTTAAGAAAAGTTTTTCAAAAACTTTGGAAACCACAGGAAGAAGGGATATAGGCCGATACGAGGATGCTTGATTTAAAGGTTTACCAGGTTTCGGAATAACAACAATTTGTGAAACCTTCCACTGTATTGGGAAGTATTCAAGGCGTAAAACTGCATTGAAAAGTACTGTAAGGAAAACTATTCCTTTTCTAGGAAGCTCTTTCAACACTTTACCTGTTATCAGATCATAACCGGGGGCTTTTTTGCCGTTTAAATCGTCTTTTATTACTTTAGCTACTTCAGATGGTGTGAACAATTTTATTGGTAAATCAAGTTGATTTGGAGAATCGAGGAATTCCAAAATTTCTTGCTCAACATTTGAATTAATATTATATGGCTTGAACACTTCCTTGAAGTATGAAGCAAATACATCTGCTTTCTCGATGTTATTTTTGGCCCAAGGTGTCTTCTTTTAGAATAGGTGGAATGCAAATTTGTGGACGTTTTAAGTTGTAACTTTCCAAAGGGAGTAGTCACTAGCTTCAGATGGAGAAAGGTTTGATGTGAAATCTTGAAATCTGTCATTGTTTAATTTAAACAGTAACCTTTTCAGTTGTTGAGTGGCCCTGTTTAGATTTCTTTTATCCGTCTGGTCTCTAGAGTTTTGCCATATTCTACGGAGTCGGCGTTTTTCGGCTATTTTCCTATTAATTTCAATTGGATAGTGTATTCCTGATTTTAAATTATGTTTATTCTGGTCTGGAGTTGCTCTCCAAGCGGATTCTTGAACTGTTTTGTTGAAATGTTCAACAGCAAGATTTAAATCTTCTTCGCTCTTCAAACACACAGAAATCTTTAAATTTTGATCCATTAATTCACGAAAATAATTCCAATCTGTATTTTTGTTGCACAAATGTGGTGGAATAGGTTTAAATATAACATTTGAAGCGATCGTTAAAATTACAGGTGAGTGGTCTGAGGAAAGGTCCAGAGATTGCTCGATTGTCACAAAATCTCGGGATACACCTTTTGTAACAAAAAAATCAAGAAGGTCTGGTATTTTTTGACGATCAGAGGGCCAATATGTCGGTTCACCTGTCGATAGAGTATCAAGGTTCCGTTCTTGGATTGACTGCAATAGTTGTCGACCCCTAGGAGTTGCCAGACGGGAGCCCCATGTAGGATGTTTGGCATTGTAGTCTCCTCCTGACAAAAATTTACAGCCTAAAGTGCAGAAGAAATCATTAAACTGTTGGTGTGTAATGTTGTGTCTAGGTGGGCAGTAAATAGAACTTATAGTAAGTGGGCCTGTCTCAAACTCCACTACAACAGATGAACTTTGGATGAAATCGAACTGATATTTTGGCAATTCATGGTGCTTGATATGACTTTTAATCAAGATAGCACAACCTCCATGAGCTCTATTGCTAGGATGGTTAGTGTTGTATAGACTGAAATTTGGAATTTTACAAAAGTTTAAATCAGTAAAGTGAGTTTCAGAAATAAGAATAATGTCCAACTTATGTTTAGCAATGAACAGTTTTAATTCTTGGCATCGCTGTGCCAAGCCGTTAGCATTCCACAAGGCTATTTTCAAGGTTTTCACCATTAATTGAGCTTTTTAAGAACAGTTGTAAGTAGGTCAAGTAAGGAACCTATTTGTTGAGATTGTTGCATAAACAGTTTTTCAAACCGATCAAAGAATGAAGTTATTGTATTTGTTAACTTTTCTGTGGATGCATCACTAGAAGCATTACTTGGCGTGCGTGCATTCACATTATCAGAACTTGTGCTGGGTTTAGTTTTGTTACTTACTCGTGAGTTGCTAACTGCCTCCGCATACGAAGTGTCAGGACGTGTTAGATTGTCAGAAGAGGCAGAATGTGATGATTGAGTAACTTCAGCTTGGTTTGGTACGGTAGTTCTTCCTCGAGCCTGGGCATGTGTTCGACTCTGGATATTTTTGAACACCATGCATCCCCTGTAATTTGCTGGATGATCTCCTCCACACAAGGCGCATATTGCAGGAGTAGAATTGTCTTTAGTGCATTTGATTGTATCGTGTTCTTTTCCACATTTAACACATCTAAATGGATGCCTACAGTAGGTTTTTGTGTGACCATATTGTTGACATCTTTTACATTGAACAATTTCCCTTTTCCTATAAGGGGGTTCAAAAGTTATCTTAGCATGTAACAAATACTGAATATTGAAGATGTCTTTGTTATTTGAACTCGGCTCTAAATCAACAAAGAACATTGACAGTGGCTGTTTGGTGGTTGAATGAAGTACATTAGAAATATTTCTTACCTCATGACCCATCTGTCGTAGTGCTTCTTTTAGTTCTTCTGTATCAACTGAATAGTGCATATTCTTCAATACAACTCTGTATGCTCGATCTTGTTTAAGCTGAAATGTATGGAAGCTAACATTACTCTCGTTAAGTTTTCTCACTATTTTTCTATAAATATCAGCAGATGTTGGAAGAATCTTAACTGAATTATTATTTATGCATTTGTAGGCAAAAGCAGTAGTGTCAACGACAGATTCAAATGTTTGAATCATTGCCTTCACATTACCCACATCAGGAATAAAAATAGGTGGAGGCTTAGGTTCTGATGATTTTTTAGAAACTGTTTGGATGTTAGAGTCCATGTCTTCATTATCTACATTTAATACTTCAAAACTGTTGCTAACTTCAATAGGCGTGTTCATGTCTTGTTTGGCCTTTTTTTGGTTTCTATTAGAAACTTCTCCAACGTTTCTGCGTTTGGGAATCGTTTGCCAGTTGTCTGTATCGTCTTCTGACGTGTTTGTCTTGCTAGGAGAATCAATCATAGCATCGATGATTTCAGATGAAAGAGAACCCTCGGTATTGGAGTAGTTGTGGCCAGAGAGGTGCGAGTTGGTGTAATTCACACCTTCGTCGGCCATTTCAAAAGAGAAATGATAGATAAACGTAAACAAATCACACGGTACAGGTTATGAAATTTCAAAAGTCTAAATAGTTACCACGTTACACATAAAATCAAGTCTGAAAGTAACTGAGCATAACGGAATACTAACGCACATTCATTTATGACTATAAAAACAAAAACTAACTATAAAAACCGAGCTTTTTTTGAAAAATAATCAAGAGAAAAATAATTTACAACTATGGTGTAAAACAATACACAGCTGACTAATTTGAACTAAGCAGCAACAAAAATTTGTGATACGGATACACGAGAACTGTCAAAGTAGGATTGTTTACAGTTAGGTTTGAGTTCTTAATTTAACGAATTATTGTGATATTGTGCGAATGTTTGATAGTTTATTTTTTTCTATTGTTTAGGTGCAATGGTAGAACATTATGGCAATGGTAGATGTGTTATACTATATCATACCGTAAATTTATGAACCAAATTTGATCAAACTGTGTCCTCCCCCCATTGCAAACGCAAAGCTTGAGTATAACTGCAATAAGCATTTTTTATACTTATATGCCAACCCCGTACGAAGGACGGGTGCTCTGCTAGTCAGTTATAATTTTGTATTCAATTTGGTTTCATTACAATAATCATTTTCTTCCTTACCTATTCTTCACTTTTTTCATCCAGTGCCATCATTGAACCGAACCACGAAGAAGTGGTTCGAAGGGACAAGGGAGTGGTTTTGGGTTTTATGCACTGAGCTATAATTCTAACTTTTAGCTCAGTGGTTTTATGTGATTTACACACCCAGAATGCTCTGCGATATTCCAGAATTTCACAACATTTCATCATAAACTTATTTCATTGGCTAAATATCAGCATAGAGTATAATGAGCTCATTTCGTAACCAGCATTTCAATCCAATCTGTCTGATCTGATAGAAGAGAAACGACTGTCGTAATAATGCGTAAAATGCAGTATACACAATGCCTCAAGCAACTCAAGGCTGTTAACCCACATTAACCTAATTATTATAAAGAAAAAATCGGAGTAATAATTATAATAGGCCTTTCCAAACATACGACCATAAAGGACTTTACCACCATAATCTTAGTAGTGATTCACAAAGTTGATACTCTATGGAGAAGACTTGTCTTTTTCTTTTATTATCTGCATGCATAGCCTTACTAGCCTCCACTCCAGCCTCTCTCTAGCTGAAGGCTGAAGCTGACCTGGAAAGTAAAGTACCAAAGTGACATCACCAGTAAAATTGGAAGTAAGACTAGCCTAAGCCTACGTATGTAATGTATAAAAGGAAACTGTTATCGGTCTACTAGCTAGAAAGAAGTAAGTTCTCAAGTAAGGAGGTTGTGACCACTGGCTCTACTTATCTGAAGGCTGTGTTTCTGACCTGACGTGTGAGTGAGTTATTTTTAATAACTTAGCCAACACTGTTATTTACCATAGGTTAACTAATTCTATAATTCTTCCTATGAAGTTGACTAACTTGAGTAAGTTAGGCTGCTAGGCTAAAACAACTTAGGCCTACTACCCAAAGGCTCAGTTTACAAATGTAAAATTTGTTGGAGATTATTTTTGTAGAGTAGCCTAGGTCTTTTGACAAAACCAGAGCATATACTACCGATAGGCCTTGGCTTAATCCATTTCTATGGCCCCTGGAGGCCCCTTGTGATGGCTGTCTTGGTTGGGTTGTAACTTAGTTTGGTATAAACTTCCCTATCTGTTGTCAAAAACAACCGAATGGAAATATCGATCAATAGAGGCCTATCGATGATTCAATATAGCCTACGGATAGTTTCATTCGATATATTGTTTGGTAAGTTAGAACCAACCAAACGATCGGCCTAAGTTATGTTGAATGAAATAATCAATATTTTCATTCCGTTGTTTTTGACAACAGACACGGAAGTCTACCCACTTAAGTTACCGGTAGTCTATTTCTTCATGTCCTTGCTAACTTAGTCGGTTTCTTGGAACGCATTTAACTTACATCAAAGTTACATGTGTCAATACCTTCTGTATAGCAATATGGCTGGCATTTCATCAAATTGACATTTAAATACCCTTAAGTTTACTGTCACACTATGATGATACTTTACTGTAACTTATGCAATTCCTCCCCTAGGCCTATGTCAAATCATACTGTACTTAGCCTATGACTATAATTTTTTAGGGTTAATTGTATCCTATAATATAAGCCCATTGCGTAATAGGTATCAGTGGCAAATTATGGTAATTACTGTATCAGTAAGTATAATAACTTATTGGTTTAGTTTCAGGGCAGTTTAGGCTATTTTAGTTATCATGTGTAATTCGGATGCTGCAACGTGTGTGGTAAGTTAGGCCTAGTCTCATTGCTGACGAAGGATATGAATTTAAAGGAGTAACTTAGCCTAGGCTGGTTGAAAAATAGGAGTGACTTTTCTCATGAAAGACAACTGAATGAGCTTCAAATTCAAGTGAATCAAGCAACTTGAAGATTGTGCAATCTGTTTATAATATTTTTGTATATTAAGTTACGGTACTCAATATTAAGTTATTGCACAATCTGATTTTCACCTTCAATAAGTTATATCTAATACACATTCAATAGCCTTTTAAGTCACTTAATATTGTGCACAATAACTTAAGTTTAACTGGTGTAAAGAACACCCGTTTTTGATGAAATTTTGTACAACAAGCTTAATACAATTTCACACTCCAGGATGTGCGATAAGGCTGAGGTCTGGGTCCTAGATTTTTATGTAGATACTACCGAACATCTTTTTTATGACATTAATGTTAAGTACCCTAACGTACTTAAGTTAATTGATTTTATTGCTAAACTAAGGCTTATGTTTAGAATTTTGAAAATAAGGTCTACACTTTTAGGCCTAAATAAGCTCAGTATCTTTTCAAATTAAATCATAAAGTTACATTATTTTTAAGCCCAAATTTGTTGGTTGATTAAGAAAAAAAAACATTTCTCTCAACAATCCCTATTTTTGGTCCAAACTAACAAGACATCCCACTTGGTGTAATTTGCTTCAAAGAGAAGGTATTAAGTTTAGGCCCAGCCTAGCATTATTTTCACGGTAGGTATACAAACTCGGAGCAAGACAGCCTATTTGGTTTTGAGTTTTTATGGTCTATATTGTATTAACACTATGGCGATTGTTTAGGTAACTTACTAAACTTGACAATTTTTGTTGTTTTTTCTTGAAAGTATTATTATGGACTTAGTCAATAATAATTTTACATGTTTCAGGAAGCCTTTAAGTTATAAAAGTTTCATAAAATTTTCATGGACGGGCGTGGAAGAGGAAGAGGAAGGGGAGGAGGAGGCGGCAGAGGTTATAGAGAGGGAAGTGGAGATGATACAAGAAGCAGAGGAGGAGGAAGAGGTGATAGAGGAGTCAGAGGGGGAGGATGGGAAAGGGGAGAAGGAAGGGGAGGCGATAGAGGAACTGGAGGTGGAAGGGATTTCAGGGGAGGAGGAGGCGGCAGAGACTATAGAGAAGCAAGTGGAGGTGATAGAGGAGGCAGAGGGGGAGGATGGGACAGAGGAAGAAGAGGTAAGATTTAACTCATGTGAACAAAATTTGTAGGATTTAAAAAATCAATAATCCTATGTTTGGACTAGTATATCAACTATCTAAAATGCAACCTGTAGTTAATGGTTCTTACACCTTAGTTAACCCATCAAGACAGGATTTTTCTTAATACTCGCTGGACCGGTACAGTAGTTTTTTTCCCCAAATTGTGCTAAATCATAATTGATTTTGCCCTTTGCGGTTTTGTTTATAAAGTGATTGTGCTAGTCATGATTAAATTCATAATTTCATAATAAAAATAGATTTAAAAATTAATAGGCCTAGGACTAATTTTGGGAGCTATGAAATGGAATTTTAGGTCCATATTTACATCTAAAGAGTTCATCAAGTCAATCGGACAATGTGGTGTATACTTTCTTAGGTAGAAAGAGTTCGCTGATTTGTCGTCAGATGCCACTCTGCTACCAGGAGCAGGTCTCGTCACTCCTTAACAGTGTATTTCCACCTTGTCAAACTCCTGGAAGGGTGAAATAACTTACTTAAGGATGGCATTTACTACGCAAGGTGTAATTCGTCCAAGAAAATAATACCACCAATACCTTGTTAGTGCAATGGCTTAGAACCTAATAAAAGATATGCAATGAGACTGACCTATTCCTAACTGATGCAGATGATCGAGGATATCAAAGAGAAGACCAATCCCGTGGTGTGCAGTTCCCTGGACAAAATGCAGATGCTGGAAATCGCTTTGACCAAGGTAAGATACCTTTATATTTTCCCGATGTACCCTCCTCTTGCCTTAGTAGCTTAGACTATTATTAAATCAGATAAAGCATGTTGTTGTGATAATCTTAAAATCAAACTTGTAGCTTCTAAAATAATTCATTAAATAATCTTTAAATATTTTTTGAGGATGGTCTGATTTCCTAATGCTACGCACAGTAAAGCTTTCTATAGGTCTATTTATTAACTTACAAAATTCCTTTGGCTATTAAATTAGCCCACATTGAACTCAAAGTCATTTCTTAATAAAGATCATTCTTAACTTGTGTTTTATTTATGTCTAATGAGGTTAAGACTTTATCTTAATCTTATAATATATTAATTACTTTAAGAATAAATAGGTTTGGTAAGTTAAAAAATGAAATTTATTAGCAAATTACAAATATAAGATATTGGTTGAATTCTATAGGGTCTAACAATGGTAAATTTACAAAATGGTGGGGCTTCCAAAGTGGATTAAAAAAAATCTAGGCTATACTAGTTACATTGGATTGGTTTCTTATGAGGTGATTAACATTTAAATATATAATATAAACTCTTGATCTCAGGGAGGGGTGATCGTGCCGGTTCGAATGATATATTAGGCTTTTGACTTTAAAATGCAGATAATTTAATTATTGTTCTGAAATAGGCTAGGTTTATGATGCTATATTGTAATATGTCAATGTCCAAAGAAAGATGCCAAATGGTTTGGGAGCGTTTCATAAAGTCCAAATTTCACTAAGTCCAACGGTTAAAATATTAAATAAACAGAGCGTTTCACAAGGTCCAAATTTCATAAAGTCCAAAACTATAACATTCAAATAATCACCGTTTCATAATGTCCAAATTTCACAAAGTCCAACGTTAAAATTTCAAATAAACAGAGCGTTTCACAAGGTCCAAATTTCACAAGGTCCAACGGTACAGTCTGGGCCAGAAGTCTCTACAGTGGTTGCCACGGTCAGATAGCAGGCACCGTCCGCCAGCGCTCAACTACTCATTACTGATTACTGATTACTCCCTGTTGCAGCAAACCTAAGTACGGTACCTGTTAAACTAATGCTATTTAAATCGGGAATAAATGTGATCATTTTAAGGAGATATTCTAGTGTAAATCAAATAAGGGAAATGGAAATTTGATGAGTCTGCAGGTTTGCTGCGGAGGGGGTAAATACCACTATTTTACACTCTTTACACAACGTATCTACGGACCCACAATGATGTTTTGTGACGCGCGGCAACAACACTAGATCGTGTAGTGCCTAAACACCGAACCACGTCAACCTCTGCAGCGACTTCTGGCCGAGACTGTACCGTTGGACCTTGTGAAACGCTCTGTTTATTTGATATTTCAACATTGGACTTTGTGAAATTTGGACATTGTGAAACGGTGATTATTTGAATGTCATAGTTTTGGACCTTATGAAATTTGGACCTTGTGAAACGCTCTGTTCATTTGATATTTTAACGTTGGACTTTGTGAAATTTGGACCTTGTGAAACGTTCTGTTATTAATATTTTAAACGTTGGACCTTGTGAAACGCTCTGTTTATTAATATTTTAACCATTGGACTTTGTGAAATTTGGACCTTATGAATCTTACCCAATGGTTTCACTGAGTTTAATGGAATAAAATAAGATTTGAGGAATAGGCTAAATTTGGAATAAAGGTTCAATTTGAAATATGTAGATCTTGATGAATTTCAGTTATAATTGGGCCTATTAGGCTATGCTGATTAAAAATGTCCAATGAAGATTTGTCCTTAGTTATTTAAACAAGATGGATGATGGTTACCAATTTGGAGTCTTCACCTTGTACCACATGCAATAAATAAAATAGGGGTTAATTAAAATTTGGTACTTTTCAAGGCACTTGTCCCTAATACTTTTGGATAGTAAGTGATTTAAAATTTAGATTACACTTTGGGATGAATTTAATGTAAGTTAAGCACAATGTCCTATAAAGTGATGTTAACACTGTAAAGAGTTGGCAGTATCTGGGGAGAGGCAATGGTTGAAGCTCTGGAAGTCCATGTCCATTGTTGAAATACAGCTGGTTAATTCACATAAATGACACTTCCCACAGTAATTTTGATTTTCTTTGGATAATTTTGAAAAGTGATACTGTATACTATATTTAAGATGTTATTATCATATTGCAATTTTCTTACAATTATATATTATTCTAAGTAAATTTGATGATTGTTGGTTTTTGATAAGTAGGCCTACAGGATAGATATGGTGAGAATTTACATAAATATTATATTGTAACATAAAATAGGATGATATTTCTTTAGGGTGATGGGATATTATGTAACATTGAACGAAATTGGAGTTTATAGAGAGTTTTGTAAGCTTGATAACTTAAAACAAAACTTGAGTCTTTAGTTACCTGGGGCAAAAATCAAAATCACGCACACCTTGTTTTGTTCAGGTGGAAGGGGCAGAGGAGGATACCACCAAGGCGGCAGAGAAGGAAACCAGCAAGGCGGCAGAGGAGGATATCAGCAAGGCGGCAGAGGAGGATATCAGCAAGGCGGCAGAGGAGGATACCAGCAAGGCGGCAGAGGAGGATATCAGCAAGGGAGCAGAGGAGGTCGAGGTGGTGGTGGAGGTGGTGGAGGTCGCAGAGAGATTGACTGGGTAGCTCAGGAGAAGATGGAAACTGCCTCTCAGACATCCACAAAATCTGATCCCGAAGGTGAGTGAAAAGTAGAATCCCAATTAGCCCTATCCAAATCAATGGTAACTGTACCACTTTCGGATATTCAAAAATTTGGATATCCAAATTTCTGTACAACATTTTTTTAGGTTAGGTTGAAGCCAAACATTGAACAAAACGGGAAACGCTGCACCAGCTGATGGTAGTCGTAATATCTTTACTGTGCCACTTTCGGATATTCAAAAATTTTGATAGTTTGGATAAGTGTTGTCAACTTATTTTCAAGTGTACACGTATTACGTGCCTAATAAAAGCACACTGTTTTGTTTTGTTTGGTTGGTATGAGTGAGGCAAAAGTAAAAAGAGTGCGGCAAAAGTAAGGAAATGCAGCATTAGCAACTTTCTGTGCTATAATCAGTGCAAGGAAGGCCACTGTGTCAGGTGACGAGGTAGAAAAAAAATATTTGTACATTTTCCTGATGTTTGCTGAGTTTTTTTTTGTTTAGTTAGTGGATATTATTATGATGGGTTAGTGTGGACTTACTACCTGCCTAGTTGCATAATTATATTTTGAGAGGGGATTTGGATGATCATATTTTGACTGTTATATTCAAAGCATTTTTTTTATTGAAATGGTAAGTTATAATATACCATAATTGGTACACTGTTAGTTGGTCAATAAATTTGGTTAGTCATTACTGACAGTAACATTTTAATCTAAACAAGTTGGAAAAAGTTTAGACCAATCGAGTTTGTAACATAATTATGCATCTTTCAGGTTAAAGTTTGGCCTTGAACTTCACATTGGCCTGCAAGTTGGAAATTTTTTCTCTTAATGCTAACCCTCTTCTATCAATATTATAAGCCAAACTTTTCTTAAAAATGAAATTAGGCCTATGAAAAGTAACAAAGAGTCCCAACCCAAGAGGCAAACCTGAAATAAAATTGCTCCACCTCAAAGAGCTACTTTAGTTTTGAATCATTAAAACCCTACAAAAGCCGTATGACATGCTAGCTGACTGGTGCCACTTCGCCTCTAGTTACACAAACAAACAATGATATACAACTGTAACACGTGTAATTCAAACAACAAAACAAATCGTACACAGCCATTTAATTGGAACGCCACAAACAGACAGAACAACACACAAAACAGCTGTGTGTCTTCTATTGGATGATTTGTAATTATTTTTGATTGGTTCACCACATTTTTCAGCCCCATTGTACGGTAAAAAGTGAAATAATTAGTTGCTAATTGCATTCTGACGCCTTTAGCGAGTTTTTCTGACAGTTTTATCAAATGTTGATACTACATTTGCTGGCATTCCTAGCACAATCTTGGACCTCTCTTTAAGAGGCGCTCGGCATTCAAGCTACGACAATGGTGCTTCTCAAGGGGTTAAGCGAATTCAAAGTAATATCTCTGTTATTTTCTCAAGCCATATATTATACAGATTGTGTTCTATTGTTTTAATTTAAACTGTAAAATCAATTGGTTTTGGTGTCTCATTGGTGGAGTCATTGCAAACGGTGCTATTAGTGTTCCATTGTGTGAGCTCATAAACGTGTGTGAGCTTTTTACGTTAGACCTTTTATAGATTATAGTGTTTTGTGATTGGTTATTATTTGCATGTTGTATCATGACTTGACTGCTATACAGTGCATTTTTTTTTTTTTACTGCTACCTTCTGTACAGTAGTGTATTCCAACTTAGGTTGGGCGTTTGTGTATTGTTAGTTGTAATGTGTTAGTTAAGTTTTTTCACCTGAGGACGGGATCAGATTCCAGATCCCGAAACGTTGTGTATTGTTTTTTACAATCGTGATGGATAATGTCCGCAATAAACCTTTGAACAACATTAACTCACCATCACCAACAATGAACTTCAATCAAACAATTGTTGTTATTCTAGCTGAAGCTGCCAGGGTAAAAAAGCTGAACGATCTTCCCACCGATTTGGCCGGGGAAGACAAGAACAAGTTTACGACCATACCAGACAGGATCAACAAAGGACCTATCGTAGGGACAAGAGGTCGACACATCCAGATCGAAGTAAACCATGTGCAGTTGACGTTCGACCCCAAGAAGACAGTGGCTATCCATTATGATTGCGCTTTTGATCGTGACAAGCTCTCTAAAAAATTGTTAAGGTAATGAAATTATTATGGGTCCATCCTTTTGGTTGTCTGATGAAATTCAGTTCATTGTATAGAAATTAGAAATTTATTGGTCTTCTGCATTTTAGATTTTAAAAAGTCAGAAGTTGAAGTTTGAAAATTTTTAAATCGTGCTGACAACTTTTCTGTTGGCTTGATTCCAAAGTTCCATTGTATTTTTTAGTTTTTTAATGGGACAAAAAGTAACTTGGCTTTGGAATAATTGTTTATGAGAAAGGAAGTAAACAAAACCAACTCACCTGAATAAAGAGTCCCAGGAGGTCAATTGAACACAAGTACACAAGAAACTGATATTTCGCCCCTTTCAGGGGCTTCTTCAGAGGTAGAAGGTAGAATGGCAGTTACAGTTTTTGCACTGTTTTAAATGTCTGACAGGCTTGCCAACACTTAACTTGTTTACACTAAAACTTATAAACTGTATATACACATTTACACCATTGATTTTACTCTACTACTGTAAAATGAACTAACTGTTAAAACTACTGTTAGGAACTACTGTTGGCGACGTGGTAGTTGTGTGGGTAAGGAATATTTTGGATGAAATTTGAGTTTATCTTATGTTTAAGTTGGGTGGAGCTCGTGAATTTGTAACAAATTGATAGACCAATTCCCATCCTCTAAGCATGGAGTTATTTCATTGGCTCTTTCGTAGGGATTTCATAGCTTTTGTTGTGTAGCAACTGTCAAATTGGAGGTTGTGGGTTAGGGCAGTTTGTGCTATGGGTTTTCCTTTGTTGGTTTTAACGTCATGACGGTGTCCATTCAATCCCTTTTCTTAGAGTTGTTAGGCCAATGTATTGGGCAGGCCATTGGGTGCATTCCAATTGGTAAATCAGGTTTTCTGAGTTTCAGGTGAAGTGTCCTTTGATTTTGTATTGTCTATCGTGGAAAGAGCTAGAGAATGTTTCTGCTGGATTGTGAATGTTGCAGGATATGCGTTGTATATTTTAGTAGTACACCTTAGAAACTTCTGTTTGACAAGTACAGATAATCTTTAGAATAGATTGAAATTAAATGAACATTCTCTCTTATCGAGGTGTATTTAGGACCTTATTGTCCTTTCTTACAGATAGAAAACTCCATAAAAGATCTATGGGAGTTCTGGTCTGGATGGTCCAGATAAGTTGACTTGAAAGATTCACAAGTATTTTATTTGATTTTTAATTTAGTAAGTTATCACTTAAAAAACCTTTGTTTTTGCAGGAGAATTATGAAAGTAATGGAAGATCGGCATTACCCCTCCCGAAACCCAGCCTTTGACGGCAAGAAAAACTTGTACTCCTGTGGAAAAACTCCTTTGTTCACGGGACCAGTGGTAAATATCCTGTATGATGAGTGATCAAAATAATGATCTAAGCTTTTTTATTTAGTAATAGAGCTATCACCTTATTCCTTCTAGACTTATCTGTCGTTCATAATATTTGCTTATAATTAGGTAGGGAGGTCACAAATTGTGGATATATATAGGCATGCACTGTGGATGCCATACTCCCTGATGTGGATTAACGTCCGCACGAGTGAGTAATACGACTATCCCGCAGTATCCTGATAATTAGACCAATTTGTATATACCAAGGCAAAAATGTGGTTCGGATTCCACTATAAACTGTAGGTCCCTTAGTTGCCATTAGCTGTATGGGCTATAAATTAACAGCTGTGTCTAAGGAATATCGGCCTTAGTCACTAACAAGACTACAAGATCACGCCACTCATCCTACACTCATCTCCATTCATACTTGGCTTAAAATACCTACTTTGTATGGTTGCCATGTAATAAGAAAGTATTAAAGTATGTACATATCGAATGTCTTGTGGTTAATAGTCCAGTTAAAGACCATTTCCCTGTGTATTTATCCCTTACAGCGTATATTTTCATAAAAAATTGGATTTCAAAGTTTTGGAATTTTGAATGTTTCTAAACTATTTTCACTGTAAATGTTACAGCTGCATGACACAGTGGAATTACCACCGGAGGAGGGAAGTACGAGGTCACTTAAAGTTGAGGTGACTATCAAAATGGTAGAAGGAGACAAGGTAGATGGCAGGATTGATCTTACCGTTATCTCTCAGTATCTGCAGCACAAGACCAAGGAGTATCCACAAAAGGCGGTGCAGGTCATGGAGATAGCGCTGCGGAATGCACCAGTCACAGCCGGGTAAGTACTGTTACTTGTTGCGCTGTGGAATTATACATTTTAACAAACTGTTATCGGGCAAGTGTTGCATATTGAGGTAATTGAGGGGTCACAGGTTGGTGATTGGAAAGTGGAATATAATAAAAAAATATGTCCTTCAACACTGTTCAATATATTCACACAACGTAGCAGACAGTTATTGTATTCAAAGTGTGGCTAAATGGATTACGGAAAGTAAATAAAAGAAACGTCTTATAACACTTAAAACATATATTTACGCTTATACTGTTACTCACAAGACGGTAAATATACAAAAACGATGATAAGTGGTGATCGATTTCGATTGGACACTCCAATCATCATCAGACCCAATAGGCGAATGACAAGAATCATGAATGGCGTCCCTACTTATACCCTATTGGCTACCGGAAGCACCGGCCAATACATTTTTATAAGTACAACTGGAATCAAAATGTATTTGTTCATTAATCAACTTATTTCTTTCTTTACATTTTTCCTTATAAATATACAATTCTTCCCAAGCATTCATTACATATCCTTTCTTACAATTCTTTAAAATATCTAGACTATCCTCCATTTTTCCTAGTGAGTGCCCATTTTGTAACAGGTGTTGTGCAACATTTGATCTTTCCGGTTTGTTGTTCCTCCACGCAGATATGTGGTTTTTTAAGCGGTTTACGAAGTTCACAGTCTGTCCAATGTAGAAGCTATCACAATCGTTACAATTGATTTTATAGATGCCCGAAGTGTCAAATTTGTTACAATCTTCTATTTTTGGATGCAGTATTTTACTCATGGTGTTCTGAGTCCTGTAGGCTATTGAAACTCTGTATTTCTTGAATCTGTTAGCAGTCCTTTGTGTTGTAGTCCCCGTGTAGCTAAATGTGATATATCTGGTGCTTTCCTGTTTTATCTCTTCTAATGTTGTTCTGCTGTGTAGTGTATTCTGTCTATCGATTTTTCTGTTCTATCGACTACACTCATCTCCATTCATACTTGGCTTAAAATACCTACTTTGTATGGTTGCCATGTAATAAGAAAGTATTAAAGTACGGTAGTAATTACTTTAAACACACCTTACACATAAAAGTTGTAAATGCATATAAATGGTATAAATGGCGTATAAATGGTTTGGGATCATTTAATCAGGTGAGTTAAAGTTTTAGGTAAATGGTACCTGAGTAAACATTTAGGCTTATATTGGGTTGGTTTCTTCTAAAGTACTAATTAATATTTCAATATGAGCTCTTAATCTCAGGGAAGGGTGGTCGTGCCGGTTCGAATAATATATTAGGCTTTATTTAAAATGCAGATAGTTTAATTAAGTTATTATTCTGAAATAGGCTAGGTTCGTGATGCTATTAATATAATATGTTAATGTCCAAAGAAAGATTCCAAATGGTTTCACTGAATTTAATGAAATAAAATAAAATTTGAAGATTAAATTTTGAATAAAAGTTAAATTTGAAATATGTATATCTTGATGAGTTAAGTTAATTGGGCCTATTAGGCTATGCTGATTAAATGTCCAACGAAGATTAAATTTGTCCTTAGCTAAACAAGATGGATGATGGTTACCAAATTTGGATTGTCTGTCTTCACCTTTGGATCATATGTAATAAATAAAATAGGGGTTGGTTAAAATTTGGTACTCTTCAAGGCACTTGTCCCGAATACTTTTGGATGATAAGAAATTTAAAATTAAGATTATACTTTGGGATTATAAATTTAATTTAAATCAAATACAATGTCCAATAAAATGATGTTCACACTGTGAGGAGTTGGCAGGATCTGGGGAGAGGCAATGGTTGAAGCTCAGGAAGTCCATGTCCATTGTTGAAATGATGTACAGCTGGTTAATTCACATAAATGACACTTGCAACAGTAATTTTGATTTTCTTTGGATAATTTTGAAAAGTGATACTGTATACTATATTTAAGATGTTATTATCATATTGCAATTTTCTTACAATTATATATTATTCTAAGTAAATTTGATGATTGTTGGTTTTTGATAAGTAGGCCTACAGGATAGATATGGTGAGAATTGACATAAATATTATATTGTAACATAAAATAGGATGATATTTCTTTAGGGTGATGGGATATTATGTAACATTGAACGAAATTGGAGTTTATAGAGAGTTTTGTAAGCTTGATAACTTAAAACAAAACTTGAGTCTTTAGTAACAGTAAACAAAATTGGATAAAATGATGCATTAACAAGGGGAAACATATTAAATAACTGATAACACATTATCAGGGGCATTAACAAACATTATGGGAGAAAATATACAAAATAATAGAAAAATTAATGTTAATGATGAATGAATGACATGTAATATTACACTTTTAAAGTTCTCATGTTATCCTTATGAAGAACATATTTGTTTACATTATGATCAGCTGAATGATTTCATTGCTGTTAATATTTAAGTTGCAATTCAAGAAAACCGGAAAACACATGTCCCATAAACGTTTACTGATTTGGTTGAAATTAAATATTAACCTTATTTTGCATTTGGGTTTGCCGGTTTGTGTACATATTACAATGGAAAAAAGCGAGAAAGCCTGGACAATTTGATATATTTCACCAAATAAAAAAAAATTGACATAAAAAATGCATTTTTTAAAAAATCATTGAAAGAACCGAGTTTTAAACTATGGAAACAGGAAAGTCTTAGATCGTCACTAACTAGAAGAATTTAGGTAATGTTTTGTTAAAGAATTTAGTATCGTTAATAAGCCTATAAAGGATACCTACAAGATTAAGATTCCTACAATCCACAAACGAGGTTGTTAGCCGAATTGCTACCATTTTAGTAGGAAACATGGCTTTAGGCTTGTGATCATTGCAGAGGGAACCCTCTTAGGCCAAATAAAACTGGTACGTCAAGAACATAAACATTTATATGTTTCTATAAAAGTCAAGAGATTTTCAAAGAATATGACCATATCTAAGAAACTTTTACAACAACTTTAATTGATTATTATTCACACTTAAGAAAACAAAAAAAAATCATATTAGTTACATACATCAAATCAAATCAAACCATTTTATTGGGCCAAATTAACAATTATACAGTTTGCATTAGCCAGGTCAATACAAATATACTATACTATACATCAATTACTAATATTTTCTAATATTTACAATAATAATTACAAATTAGAGCTTTCAAAACATTTCAGGAATTCTTGGACGCTATAACAGGTTATACTTAGCAATTTATGTTTTAATTGTTTTTTGAATTTTGAAAGGCTTGGTTCCAACTTAAGGGATAATGGAAGTGAGTTGAAAAGCTTTATGCCAATGTACAATGTGTGTTTTTTGAAAAAAAGAAGTTTTGTGTTTAGGAATTGGCAAATTAAATGAATTGCGCAATGTGTATTGATTTTTAGTAGAGAAGTCAAATTCAGGAAAGTTTTGTTTCAAAAAGGTCAAAGTTTCTAAAATGTAGATGATGGAGGGAAAAGTCAAGATTTTTGAATTGAAAAAGTACTCTCTGCAGGATTGATGCTTACGCAAGGAGAAAATAGTTCTACATAATCTTTGAGTTGACTCTTTTAAACTCATCAGAAATTATAATTGTTTTTAAATATCTCCTGCAATACTTTGCAATTGCTCGAATTAGAGCAACATGTATACTAGTTGTATAAGAAACTATAAAACATTTAAAAATTACAGTTTTTCTAAAAAAATTTTAAAAAACAATTGGTGACTGTGGTACAAACTTTGATTGATTTTGTTGGTCTGGTGCCTTTCATAATATCACTTGTGGTGTGTCTAGATTCATACAAGTTGGAAGATCTTTTTTCACGGCTCCGAGCGAACCAATCACTCTCGGCAACGGTATGGAATTGTATCATGGATTCTTTCAAAGCGTTGTTCTTGGTTGGAAGACTTTTCTCAATGTTGATGGTAAGCTCAACACCTAGCATAAAAGTTAATCTATTTTACAAATTGAAAAATATATCTTGTGATTGGACAAAGTAAACAAGAAGAACCTCATTTATATGATAATAAATGTAATTTGGGTTTTATAAATCATGTTGAGTAATTCAGGATCTTATCACCACATTTAAAATTGACATTGAATAGTTTTATTAGTAGACATCGCTGCAAGCACAAGTTGATGTAATTTCTCATAATTTTCTATATTCAGGGTGAGTTTTAATTGTCCCCCACAAACTTTTTTTCTACATTTTTCAAAACATCAATCCCAGACTACTTCCAAACGTTGTTGGCTAGTAAGTACTTCATTTTGACAAAGTGGTAATTTCTGGCTGCCATCTTGGATTCGCTTCAAAATCTTTTTTCAAATTTAAAGGGGGTTGATATCCAATATTTCAAACTAGATTTATACCCTGATTACAATGCCACAAACCTTTAAAAAAAATCTTGATCCATTGCAAAATTCTGAGGGCTTTTTATAACTTTATTTTTAGCCCATTTTAACACTGCATTTACAAACTAAGACCATAATCTCAAAATAGTGCTAGATAAAGATAAGTATACACCGCCAGTCAGTCATTGTCGACCTATTTTCACTTGGTTATGACGGATGTAATTGACTCTCGTGTACATAAACTTTGTATATATTAGGATGTAAGCATAGCATAGTGACCTCTGAAGATGCCACAACCTGTGGTGAAATGCGCATCAGGAAGCAAAATCATCAAGAACTCAAGGCAACACAAAACAAAAAGGTAACTTATTATAGTTTCAGACTTCTGGAGTCCAACATAGGTGTAACAAAAACCACAAATCATCCGTCCAATTTGGTTGGATCCGTTGATAACATTGTTGGAGAATGGAGACACACAGATAAAATACACAAAATGATCCTGTGATGGTGGTTGTTTTAAAATTCTATTCATTTTTTGAATTTTTGTCATGCGCTTATCAATTGGTATCAACGGATACAAATAAATTGGGTGGATTACATGACATTTTTTTTCATTTTTTTATACCTGATGTTGGACTTCCAAAATCTGTAGCTATGGTAGTGCCCTTCTAAATGAAAGTTCCCTTGCCGGAAAAAGGTATTGTAATCATTTACCTCATATTCATTGATCCAGAGGCTATTACACAATGAAAATGTCATTTGGTCATATTTATGTAATGAAGATATGTTTAAGACTATTATGCAAATAAAAATAAGAAATTGTTTAACATCCTTCCTAATCTTGTTACCATGGTGTTCTAGTCGCTCACAAGGCATTCCCTGAAGAAAGAGTAGTGAGTGACGTTATGTGTGAATTCGTAAAAGGGTATAACAAACCTCACCCAAGCGAACTTTCATATAGTGAAGACGAACTTGAGAATTTCAAAAACTTTATGAAAGGACTGAGAGTATTATATTTCATCCCTGGAGTTCCAAATTCAAGACGGAAGCGTACGGTCGTTGGAGTGAAGCCGCCTCCCAACCAGAAAAGGTATATTCAATTCAATTCAAATTCTCTTTATTCATTCGCAGTACAATTTGTTATACAAATAATAGTGTCAAATAAATATAAAGATGAATTATGCCTTACTTATCGATAAACCAATTATTATCTTTATAAAACAAATGTTAAGCTTAACACGTTCCCTACCTACTGTCACACTCAGCCTCTGTAACTGAGGTATGAGTATAGTTGGTAGCTAAAGTGTTAAGAAGACTAAACAAAATTAAATTAACTTTAATCATATTTTCAAACCATAATTTATGAAATATCTCTTGAATTCCAAAATTCATCCAAAGAATGCAAAGATAATGAAAGGAGATAATTTTTCAATCTGTTTTAAAAAACATCAAAACTATTTTCCTCTATTATAATTTTAGGTAAATTTTTAATGTCTAATTTTTATGATTCAACCGACCAACTAGATGCTTTTAAATTCATTATGTAGCCCCTAAACTAATTAGACTATTACGAGAGCTCGCACCGTGGTCGAAAACTCGACCAAAAGTATGTATTGTGCAAACTTCTCTATTTTCAATCCACGATGTAAATAAAACATGTGATTGGAATTTCTTTAATTTGTTTTGATTTTCTGTTTGTATTTTGTTGTTATTTCTTCACCAACATGGCAACGCATAAGGCCTATGTTAATTTTTTTAAATTTAAAATTCACTTTTGTGCTAATTTTTTAGCTTATTTTGATTTATAAAGGGATTCTGCACATCTACAGGAAAATATCTTTCATTTTGTACCAACCGCGTGTAATTTGGTCCAGTTGTATGGTCAGGCTAGCTGTCATAAGTTTTGCAAAAGTTTTTTAGTATATAAGATAGGCAATTAAATACGTAACATCAAGAGTTTAACGAGTGATTTTAAAACTCACGACATATTTTGCCTATTCATTTAGTTTCATTCATTTGAGTCTCCCTCCGTACCGCAACCGGTTAATGTTTATCTTAAAAACGTCTGGTATTTTTCGGTCACCCTTTATTACCATACAATTAAAGACCTAACCCAGTACCCTTACTGAGCCAAACAAAAACATTTAATTTGAATATGCTAGTGCCTACTGAAGAATCTAAGAGTGCTGCTGTCACCGGGGTTTTAAAAATATATATACATTTCACTTGCTGATAGCAATAGCTGATCAGTTGATAGGAACAGTGAAGTGAGGCCAGTTCTGTCCCACACGACCCCAACTCACACGACCCCCACACGACCCCCACACGACGAACAACAGCGATCCTAGATTCTGGTGTAGACACTAGCTGATTCCAGATTCAAACACATCTTTTTTGGTCTCAGTGACAGTTCTGTATTATGTCCTTATTAACACACTGCAAAATACAATAACATAACAATAACATCTGTTTTCGTAAATAGTTTCCTGTACAAGAGAAACGATAGCGATCCAGGAACTATGATGAAAATCGACCAGTATTTCCAGCAAGTAAAGGGATACAGACTGCAGTTTCCCAACCTGCCTTGTCTTCATGTTGGGGACCCTAAGGGAGACATTTGCTTACCACCAGAGGTAATATATATTATCATTGACTATACACAGAGAGTCGGTGTACAGTCTATGATATTATTAATACGCTACATGAAACTTTGTGAACAATAAGGCTTTTTTTTAGATTTAGCCCCACGTATCATATACCAAAATGTTCGTCTAGGTGTGTAGATTTGCAAACTGACCTTACATTTTTAAATAAGTCCCTTGGGCTCTGCCCCAGTGTCTTCTAAAGTTCCCATGTTATCCTTATGAAGAACATATTTGTTTACATTATGATCAGCTGGATGATTTAATTGCTGTTAATATTTGAGTTGCAATTTAAGGAAACGTATGCTAAAGCCCCATTCACACGGGGCGAGTTTACAAGCTACACGCCGGATTTTTTGTACGCAGCTAGTAAAATAGCTCAGTGTGAACGACGTACTCGCTCAAAAGCTGCTTGTAAAAAACCTCTGGAAAAAGTTGACGCTGCCGCTACTTTACACGCCAACTCGCCAGCTTTTGAGCAAGTAGGCGTGTAAAACAGCCCAGAGTGAACACAGTTGCTTGTGCTTGTGCGCATGTTATTCAAAGATGCCGGAGGATTTGGTTCTCAAGCTAGCTACTGAGCGAGTGGAAAAAGCATCGTGTGAACGACTACAAGCGCACTCGCCGGCGTCTTTCTACACGTCTGCGAGTTGGCGAGTGGACAAGCTCTGTGTGAACAAATACAAGCACACTCGCCAACTCGCTGGCTTCTTACACGCTGGCAAGTAGCTTGTAAACTCGCACCGTGTGAACGAGGCTTAAGAAACATTTACTGACTTGGTTGAAATGAAATATTTACTATTTGAATTTGGGTTGGCGTAAATATTACAATAGAAAAAAGCGAAAAGCCTGGCCATTTTGATATACTAAAAAGAAAACTGAATTAACACTGTTTGCATGTCTTGAGCAATCATGGGAAAGCTGATTTGCAAACTATGGAAACATAGGACAGTAATAGAACACAACCAAGGAGAAAAAAAGAAATATTTTTTTTAAATATATAATCATTATTATGGACAACCTAATGCGGCTGTGAGTGGGAAATGTTTGTAGAAAACATTTAAAAAACTGGATCAGCTTTTGAAAATGATAAGATATTTACAAGAAATGTTGATTATATCGATGTGTTATGTACATCGTGAGTATTTCCATAATCTTTGAACCAACTCTTTTAAAGTCATCGGAAATTATGACTGTTATTTGTTTTAAAATAACGCCTGTAATACTTCGCAATTGCTCTAATTTGAGCAACAGATACACTAGTTATAATATAATTATCTTATTATAAAAATTATAATATAATAACGCTATAATAATCACAATATTGGTTATTACAACATAACAACATGTTTAAAAAATTAAGTTCCCTATTCAAAAATTCTTTGGCTTGTAAAAATTGACATTTTAATTTTATATAAAGTGAAATTAGTTTGTTCTTTCTGATTATTAATGTTTGTGTTCCTTAAGGCATTGTATACAAATAGTTAAGAGTTAAATTTTAAAACTGTTTATTTTCTAACAAATCTTTTAGTTTTTTTTAGTTTAACGTTTCCAAAAATAAAATGCCTTTGATGAAGCTTGATTGTGTCTGATTGATCTTTTTCAGCTGTGCACAGTTGTCATTGCTCAGGTGATGATGAAAAAGTTGGATGCAAATCAGACTAGAGCTATGATTAGGGAGGCTGCCAAACCACCTCATGATCGTAAACAGAAGATCATGGATGCTGTACGTAGCTCTTAACATCAGTTTAAACTAAAACCTTACTAGATTTCAATAAATTACACTATTTTGATATTTTATCTAAAATTACAGTTTGAAAAAAACATTAGAGTACCGGTATTTAATTCTCAGATCACATAAAATATTTATGAGTACAGTGTGCAGAGTTTGTGGGACTAAATTGTACAACTAATAGTATTTTTATTTTTAGGGTTTTTTAAGAGTAACACAACACTTACCTACCGTACTTATTATTGGGAGGCATGTATTGTACAGTCTAAACAGTAATCCAATCACTATTCACAACAAACAGGCAGTATTGGATTCAAGTTTAAAAGTTCAAAGCTGATCGGAGACAGTTATTTCTTTCTCCAACTGTTGTTTTGAACATACTGTACAATATTCAAACATTAATATGCAGTGGTCTAGTTAAAAACTATTAAAAAATATTGTTTTGGACATTGTTGCACTTTTTCACATATAGCAAGAGGTTGTTAATTGATGATTTTCAGCTTTTTTTCAGTTAAATGTCTTATAATGTTTGTAGTATGTTGATAATTTGGTTATTGATGCTCTTGTTCTGGAAGGTCCTTGTGACATATATACAGTATCATTGTATAATTATTTAACTTTAAACAAGTTTCGTACTTGGTTCGAAAACGTTCATAGCTGACTCACTCAGGGAACTGTAATCAAATATCTTGTATAACTAACTGTTCTTTATGTTTTAGATGAACAAAGTCCAGCACAACAAAGACAGTTGTGTCAATGAATTTGGAATAAATGTGGGTCAACAGTTTGCCAAAGTCCCTGCAAGAATCCTTACTCCACCGAACATTGAGTATGGAAATAAAATGGTTAGTCAAAAATCAGCTTAACAGAACATGATTTGAAATTGTTTGATATACTAAGGCTATTGAGAAAGTAAAGAACGTGTTGTTCTGACGCCGCTGGGCGCTTGCCGATCTCGTATATTTTGCCAACCAGCTTTGACAACGGGAACATTCTCCCACTGCCCGTTTTTTCACAATTTCAACTTAAGATGAGCGCTGCGATTAAAAATCCTGCCAGTTAAGAGGTGCTGTAAGTGATACGGGTTTTGTTGGCAAAAAAATTAAAACCGAAACTACTCCTCAAGTTTCTCGGACTTTGTTGTTTGAAATTGTAACACAACAAAGCGAAAACTCTGTTATCAAGAATCAGCGCTTTTTGCAAACCTTTTCATCAACTTTAGCGACCAGTTCCATCAGTCACAATGTTCGGGCGTCTGCCCTTTGCTTCGTCATGACTCATGAGCGTCATATTGGCCATTTTTAATCTTAACCATTTTCTCAGATCTTTTATTCATTGTGTTCCCTTAAACTTCTCACACTTGGTGATGAATGTCTATCGGTTTTAAGTTTTTTGCCAACTTATCACTGACCACACCTCTTAACTGGCAGGGTTTTTTATCGCAGCCCTCATCTTAAGTTGAAATTGTGAAAAATCAGGCAGCGCAAGAATGCTCCCGTTGTCACAACTGGATGCCGGCTGAGTTGCCGAGTACACACGCACCAAAATGTACAAGGTCGGCGTGCACCTGGCGGCGTCAGAAGAAACGTTCTTCACTTTCTGGATAGCCCTCGTATCAAGAGAAAATTGTGTATAGAATGTCTGTGTATTTGCTGAAAAAAGCAACTATCAAATTATACAATGGCATTATCAACAATGTTTTTCTCTATACGTTTTGCAGATCTTTCACTTTCATACATTTACTATGTTATGCTTATGCTAATTGCTCAACAATTTGTTAAAAAATTTTACTAGCTCATAAAAATATCTGGAAAAATACAAATTTCTGTGTGATGTTGAATTTTTCTTTAACTATAATGTTGGTTATTGTGTCATATTGTGTTACCACAGTATTTCTAAAATATTAATAGTTCTTTGGGAACATTGCGTAATCGTTAAAATTTTGACACAATATTTGTTGGCACTAATATTGTACTGTACATATTAGTAAACTTACCAAATTTTTACTAAATAACTCACTATCAATTACTTAATATTTCTTTCACTCAACATTAAACTAACTTATGGGTCAAAAGTAAAATCTTTATTCCATGAAAAATCAAAATTCAATAGGACACTTAAACAATTGTCTTATTCTAACATAAACAAGCAAGATGTGCAATACAGAAGGCACAAAAAACGCAAAAAATGTGTTGTGCAACTGCAAAAAAAGCAAAACAAAACAAGGGCAAAACCTATGCACATACTGACAAAATCAAACAAGACCTACTTAAAATGACTACATACAATGGACTTAATGTACAAGTCTAGATGAGACAATGTCAAGAATGCTAAAAGACTTTAGTGTTTACTAACATTGTTAAGTGTTTCTATAGTTGTATGATCATCGCATATAAAAGTTATTTTACTAAAGTTGATGGGAGTACCTCTTTTCTATGTCCAGTAAGTTGAGAAATGTTAATTTTTGTAATAGGTCCAGCCAGATGATGGAAAATGGAACTTGCAGCCATTTAAGACTGCCAAAAACTTGGACAATTGGGCCATCGTGTCTGCTGACAACTATATTAGATGTGAAGACCTCAGGTAAAGCAACATCATTTCACAACCTGTGTCTTCTATAATACAGAGAATGTCCTGTTTGTATATCATGAATGGCCGTTGGATGGCTGTTTGTGTGTTAGCATGTGTGGGTTTTTACACCCTAGGATGTTAGGCTCATGCTCAGAAAATTTCTACACTTTACTTCAGGCTAAGTTTAGATGCTTGCAACTTGCGGCATTATCACTTTGATAATCCACTAGTGATTGACTGGATTTGAGTGTGGGACATGACCAGACCAGTTCTCTCCAATACCTGTCAGCTCATTGATTATTCTAAAAACTTCTTTACACATAGCAAGTGAACATTTGTTTCTGTGATTCAATACAAAATATAAATACAAGTTAACTATTTTTTACATAATGCATTATGGTAAATGCTTGCTGATAGGTAGTTAAATAATTTTGTCAACCTTGATTCTCATTATTAATTCAGGGCAACGAAACAAAATAATGGAATGTGAAATACAATTTACAACATTAAACTTGCTATTTACAAATTTTAGTTAAGTTCGGTAATCCATTTATGGACGTGAATGACTAAACAGCATTTTTATTAAGACTTGTTTGTATTGGTAAATCGTTAACAATTGAAAAATTTAAGAAATTAAAAATTCAGACTTTTTGAAACAACTGTGAAATTACAGGAGGGTTAGTCAGAGATTCCAAGAGTGCTGCAGGGAAACAGGAATGAAAATAGCAGAACCCATCTACATGGACTGTCTAGTAACCACTAGATATATAAATCACAGCGAGCTTCAGCGATTACTTCGAGAAAGCTTCCGCAAATACAAGGCGGATAATGTCAAGATAGCTGTTGTAGTTATGCCCGACAAGGACAAGCATGTATACAGTAAGTAAACGTGACGTGACACACCCAACACTACAACAAACCTTCCACAGACAGTCAAGATAGCTGTCATAGTTATTTGTTGCTAAACTTAATTACAACTTATCGAAATAACTTTAACCTACGACCGGTTCTTTAAACTAGCCTTTTCAATTAATTCAGAATTTAAAAGATCCACTTTACCACATTGTTTTTTTTATAGCTCTAGTAACGGACTAATGAGGTTCAAGGATTGAGAGAAGTAAAATTGTAATGCTTTGAAAGTCAACTTATCAGCTGTTAAGTTAAATTTAATCGATTATAAAATATGTGGTGCAATGAGTTGTTTGTACAATGAGTCGTTACAATGATGTATTGAGTATCATCAGTGGCAACGAGAGGTTATAAATTAAAACATAACCTCTCTTAGAAGTTATGAGTGATTTTTAGTTGGTTAAAAACGGGTGTAGGTTAAGTAGTGTATGCAACTTGCATAAATAGTCTTAGGCTAGTGCCTTAAATTTCTACACGTGTCGTAAAGACTATCTGTACACAATCGTTGTGAAAACTTATATTACAGACATCATAATACATTCAGAAACAGTAAATTTTAAAATCACAGATAAAAAATTCCAGTTTGCTCATCTTTGGGTATTTTACTTGAGAGTTTTGCAATCTGAAACTCACTTATGATCAATCAAGTAATTCGTCAACCTACTTAACCTAAAAATATGCAGTAATATTTCTGCTAGACCTGACAAGTCATGTACAAGACTTCATAAAATTACGGTGAGTGGATGAATGGAAAAATCCAATGATCAACAAGAAACGGTTCATTTATGGATTGAATTAATTCTTACATGCAAAATGCTATAAGTAAACTTGAAAATAAACTTTTTTGTTTAAATGTTAATTTTAATTACTGTAGGTTGGTTTAACTATAAGTAGGATGATTTATGAAGATGATTAACCATGTAAATGGATAGTAGTTTTCTATAAACATTTTAAAATTGTCACGCCACTCCTCTTCCAAGGAGTGCGAGGGGGGGCTCGCTTGGGTGAGAGGTGGTGTAGAAATCAACACTCGACAAGTCAACTAACCAACGGACTATTTATTTAAATAAAAGAATACGTACTTCCCTAACTTAACACTAACAAATCAAAATAAAATTCCCTGAACTAAATATCAAGGTACCGACCGACCCTCTACCCGATCACGTGACGACGCGTCGCGGATGTACTGACACTCTCTGTCTTCGGAGACCTTCTCGGCCCCGTGTCTCGCAGCTCACTGCCTCTGTCGTCGTCCAAGACACCACGGCTCGGGGATGCGGTCTCAGCAGTCTTCTCGTCTTGCGTGGGATATGGGCCCCACGTCACAAAATTTGGCAAATTATTTTGTGCCTCTATGAAACAGCTCTGCAACAAAAACTGTAAATTGGAGAAAAAATATTGGCCCTAATGTGCAATTTGTGTTAATGGTGTATTTTTTGTTATACTGCAGTAAAAACATCCGTTTTAAATACATGCGTTGCGGGTCTAAAGTAGCTCTTTTACAAATCCTTAGGGAGTAAAAACCTTTTTTGACCCTAGACAGCAAAAAATTGTTGAAACAGTTGTAAACTGCAATTGTAAGCAATCACATGTATTGAATTGATCAAATTATGTATTAATTTATTTGATCGGTTGTAGCAATAGTTTGACATATTGATAGCATAATGTACACCAAGACAATCGCAATGGACAAAATGATCAAATCCTTTACTGAACAGCTGCTTATTTGCATTAGCACTATTGAAAACAAGCTGAAAGTCGTTTAGACAAGTTATTTTTATTTAAAATATATTTGTTTCCTTACTTAGTTTGTTAAACTAAGTTGCAATATGACAAAGAATATAGTTTATCACACAGGCAAAAAGTGTCTTTTCAACCCTCCCTTATTTCCGACTTCGCCTTTGCCCCACTTGAGAAAAATGAGCTCAGGTTGAAAAGAGTCATTTTACGCCTTAGTGATACTAGCTTGAAGAGTCTATTTAAATTTGAAGCTTGAATATTTTCTCTGGTTTGAAAAAAACCACTTTACTCACTATCTGTAAGTTATATAACTATTAATTTGATTTTATGTTTGCAACTATTGATACCAGATCTAGTTTGACCCATATGTTGTTGATTCGTAGATATCGTGAAGAAGATTGGTGATACGGAAGTAGGATTGCCCACTAGTTGTTTGTATTCGGAAACAGCTACAAAGAAGATGAACCAAGCTACTGCAAAAAACCTTTTGCAGAAGATTAACACCAAGCTGGAAGGAGTGAATCACACAGTTAACAGGAATCAGAAAGCGTAAGTTTATTACTCAGGTGACCTTACCTGGGCAGGACCCACTACATGGCCTAAAATGGGCAGAAATGTGAAAAATCATGATTCATTTTTTTTTCTTGCATGTTTTGTACAGGGTGAGTCAGTGAGACGGGCGATTTTTTGGTAGGTACGGTACTAAAAAAGGTTAAACATCATAACATCGATTTATTGATTATAAACATATTAAATGAGTGGTAGTTTGTGTTAAAACAACAGAAAAAGTGTCAAGCCTTAAAAATAATATCGGGGTCAACTCCTTAAACTTATAGTCAAGCCACAAAAAAGTTGCAGGAGCTGAGGTCAGAGGATTAAAGGGGCAATATCCCCGTTTTATGTCACGGGAAGAAACGGCACACCAAACCCTAACTTTATTAGAGTGAACTGGCGATTCGTGAAGTGCTTGGGAGCCCACCAATATCTAAAGGTTGTTTTTGACATATCCCGATAATTGGAAATGAGACTCATCACTCATCCACAGGTTGAAGCATATGCTCACAAAAAGTAATGCGGGATCGAGAGTCACGCATATTCAAGGCTTGCACAACCTTAATTTTGCATGTTAAGATCTTGATACAAAATTCGTCTCACCGTTGGCACGGAAAGTTATTCGTTAAAAGTGCTTTGCTAAGCCGTCGGATAGATCAACAGGGACTTCTGACAATCGCTTAACTGATTCAATTGTTTTTCGGATTCTGCACAGTTATAATACTCCCGCCTCTACTTTTTGTAGTTTGTCCTGTTTCTTACAAGTTCCATCCCTGAATTGCATGTCTCGATGGAACTCGAGAGGGCAGACCAAAATGAATGTGCAATAATTCATTCACCGTTTTAATCAAATGCCTTGACAGCGAAACCACGCTGTGGTCCGGTCCAACGCTGCATGGCAACTAAACTTCCAGAGGTTGGGACCGCAGGGTAACTTACTTGACCCCTTTCCTTCTTCCCCACCACTCGCCAACGTTCTAAAAAAATAGCCCATTTCACTGATTCACCCTAAAAAATAAGAGCATACATACATTCCTACCATGAGTGTCATCACAGTAGGGCAAGGGGGATACAAAAAATAGCTGTTAATGATGTAGGCATGTTTTCTATAAAAAAATGAATTAGGCCTACTACTGAACTATCTAGCTAGACCCTCCAGTAAGACGCCCAGCACAGTAATCTGGTGGGCACTCTTGATTTCAACTAGAAATAAAAATTAAAAAATATCTTAGTGCGTAGATAGTTATTTTTGTTTTTACTATAAGAACCCTGCATAAGATGTGTATATAAATGTGCCACCCACCCTTGGTAATAAAAAAAAATTTTAAAGTGGCAGAAATAACTGCTGCCCATATTTGCAAACGTATTACCAGGTTATGAAATAAAATGTGTTTTTAACAAGATTTTATTTTGAAAGGCATTTTAACTTTATTTTATTAAAAAAGTACATTTAGTGCGAGAAAGTTGGGTTGTACAACTGTACGTACAATATCACAGTGCTTCTGCAGGGCACAGGAAATTCCCACCATAAGAATACTGTATTAAATAGACAACCAAAAATCCAGGTGGGGGGGGGGTCTACAGAATTGGTGGAAACATCTGCTTCCCGTCCACAACATGCATAAACATTTAAACCACTAAAACACATATTCAGATTTTTTAAAAGAATAATGACATTTACACCACGGAGAACATAAACCAATTTTTAAAGAACTAGGAGTAACAAAAGCAGCCTTGCTAATTTTATTTTAAGAAAACCCTATTATAGTATTGATGAGTTCTTAACTGATCAGGATGTGTATTAATGAATTTGTTTCTAACTTTAATTCTTTTATTAGTCTTATCATGTTTTTATTGACAATGTCACTGCAATTTCTAAGTTACAATTTACAGATGCACATTGTATGGCAAATGCTGTACTGTATTTTGTAAACGTTAAATGTGACAATAAAGATTTATTTATTTACCACTTGGAAGCTATCTACCTAAAGATTAAATGCAAAAGACTTGTGTGGTTTCTAAATTTTTAGAATTTTGGAAATGGTGTGCCGTCAAAAAGTCAGTGGGTTATGTAATTGTTTCAGACCTGACAGAGTGATGGAGCTGTTGAGAGGAACAATGCTGATGGGAGCAGACGTAACTCATCCATCGCCTGATCAGAGACACATTCCATCCGTAGCCGCTGTACGTAGTCGTAGTCAACAGACCTCTTATCAGCCACTCACAGAATATGCTAGAGTCTAAAACTCTGTTTTGAATTTGGCTTAGTTAAAAAGTTGGCATATTTGATAAATACCCCTGCCGCAGCAAACCTGCCGACTAAGCGAATTTCCATTTGTCTGAATTGTTTTTCAATTTAAATAACATTAGGTTTAACGAGTTCCTAGGTTTGCTGCTACAAGGAAACTAATAAAGTGTGTGTTTTTAGTATAATTAAAAACTAATAGAACAAAAATAAATAAATTGAGTATAAAATAAATAAATTTTCCAAGTTTGATCAAAATATCTATATATATAAAAGGCAAAGCCCTCACTGACTCACTCACTCACTCACTCATCACTAATTCTCCCACTTCCCATTTACCTAGAAGGCTGAAATTCGGTACACTGATTCTTTGGGCATTAAATAGGAAAACTAAGTAGTTTTTATTCTGATCGGGCTTTTGGGCTCCGCCCCAGTGGCTCTGGAGTTTCCCATGTTAACCTTATGAGTACTCATATTTAAATGGAATTAATGAATCTTAACAGCTGTTTCAATTAAACAAGTTGGTTCTGTTCTATGATAAGCAATAGCATTAAAGTTACAAGGATTACCAACAGGAACAGGGTGCAGCACTATTATATTTTTTTTAATTTATGACAACAGCTAATTTGCAACCAAAAGGTGAGTGAGCGTAGCGAACGAACTTCAACCAGGACGTGATTGAGCCATGCGAACAAGCTCATCTTGAAAATTAAGAAGTTAAACGGGGCAAAGCCTGCAGGTACAGCTAGTATATCCATAAACAAGCAAACTAAAACATTTTACAATATTCTCCATAATAATAACATGGGAATTTTAAATTTACAATTTTGTCCGTTACCAATAAAAGTACAAAAACACTTTGTACTATACTTAATTATTTGTTTTAAGCTCTTTTAAAGGTCTACAGAGAAATTGGGAAATTTTGTGTTTTGAGGGTCAAAAATGAGAAAAATACATACATACATACAAATTTGAACGAATTGTGTTTTTGGCCTCTGGGGACATCAAAATGAAAAAGTAAATCGGTCCCGGGCCTAGGTCTTACCAAGCCCCCTACGGTAATAGCTACTTCCCTATAGGGAAATTCGCTAAAAACAGTTGTATACAGGGGTGCCCAGAGGGGGGGTACTGTGGCGCGTTCGCGCCACAGGAATTTTTGGGGGGGGACTTATTTTGAGATTTTTGGAGGGATATTTTTTTGCTAGCTGTCATAGTGAATGTATAATTTTGTATAAGCAGCCCGAAAAAGTGTTTCTAAGTAGCTCACTATCACCACCAACAACATTTTGCCGTTCGTAATTAAGATAGCTTCTAAGAATGGTAAAAACGGACCTTGCCAGACAATCCTTAATATACCAGTGTCGAATTTTACTTGCTACATATGTTTTGGTGTATCTTTAACTCCACCATCGTCAGGATTTAAAAAAGATCCACTTCTGGAGGTGTCGTCAGAATACGACAAACATTTAATACACAACACGAAACGATTACAGATAGGCCTGTCAATTCGTACATTGCCGTCGGCAGGACTGGAAGTAAGTAAAGTAAACTGAATCAGGTTCAGGTTATGACGGACCGACGTGGTCTCTGGATTTTCGTCTGCGTTTCCAACAGCTGATATTGGACTATTGTAGTGACTGAGAAGAGTAATTGAAAATAAAATGGGATTCATAATTAATTGAGTGTTTTCACTAAAAGATTTTGTGCTGTCAATAGTTTTATGTATATTTCAAACTCCTCAAAGTATTTAATAAATTTCCTTTTCTGCAGTAATGTAGAATGTCGAGACCATCCAGCATATAAATTGGTTATTATTGTCAATAATTTTGAATGGAAAAATCAATTATGAATCCCATTATATTTTCAACACTCTCCTCCGTCACTAGAATTAGTCCAATTTCAGCTTTTGATAACACAAACACCAATCCAGAGACCACGTCTTTCCGTCATTACCTGATTCAGTTTACTTCCAGTCCTGCCCGCGGCAATATACACACGTGAATTGATAGGCCTTTCTGTTATCGTTTCGTGTTTTGTGTACAAATGGATTTGTCTGACAAGATGCGTTTCTACCATTATTAGTCATAAAAGGCAATCCTGGGGCTATCAAAATGAATTATAAGATAACTTCGTCACAAAAACCTTTTGTACTGGTGGCAATTATTAAGAGATACTGTGGGTATTTTGCCCGGCGATTTTTGTAGAAGGCAGCCTGGGAGTGGCGAGCAACAAGTCTGTCTTATTTCGTGACTCTGTCTATAATTTTGAAACAATATACTTTTTGCCAAAGTATTATTAATACACTTAAAGCTGTTTGAATTCTTAAGCCCTGTAAAAATTAACGCCACCTAATACAGTATATTGTACAGTTACAGTACTGTGTTGGAGTAGAGTAATTCACCGAGTAGGCTTATATTGTTGTACGTTTTGAAGACGTTGTCTATTGCAATACTGAGCACACATATATTGGCTGACAATACAGATTCTGAATTGTAATTTAATTTGAAAAACTTCTAATTCGTCCATTAGTTAGATTTATATTGATGTATTTTTAAATGACGTTTCATATTAAACATTTAATTTTGATTATCAGCAAGTTTGTTTTTCGTACCTCAAGTTTACCAAATACTTTAAATGCTTGTTTTATGAGGTAAAGGGAAAATTGTCAGATAAATTGGTAAGGGGAGGGTAGGTTTAAATAGACGGCAGCATAAATTGGGGGGGGGAATACTCCTTTGGCTTGGGGGGGGGGGGATTGCGCCTCTGGGTTTGGGGGGGATGGGCACCTCTGTTAGCATTCACTGTCGGTTGCACAATTTTCAACTACATTTTTAATGCTAAAACTGGCTATAAATTTGACATTGAAATGGAATTTCTAATTTTACCCATAGGCCTACTCAAAAACTGTATCCTATAAAAGCAAGGTCATTGAGTCAGACTGTTACTGTTTTAACTTGGCATAAAAAAAACCAAGTACAAATAAAAAATATTTGAGAACAAATTTTAAATCAAAACAATTAGATTTTGACGTACAACAGATACAATGTGATATCAGTTTTGTGACAACCACACAACGTCACAGTTCCATTTTTATTTAGGACACACTGACAATCATTTTCATACGTGTGATACATTCATAAGTGAATACATGTAAAATATACATCCCAAAACACAAGCTTGCGCTGGGTGAGAAGGAAACTCTTCCAGCATATACATTTTCATAAAAACACTAACTGGTAAAATAAAATAGTGTCTTATGCCATTTTCTTTTATAGAAAATCAAATCAGAGAGTATAAGAAAATAAAACATAAAGAGACATAAAACAAGGTAAATTTCTGGTTTTAGAGGTGGGACGCAAACGGTTAAAATAGTGACCAGTAAAAGCTGGTAAATCTGCATCTATTAAGTCAAAAGCTACCTACCAAATCTTGTGTAGTATACAAAAAAATATGTAAAATAACAATAATGTTTATGGACAGGTGACAGCTAGTCATGACCCACTGCAGTTCCAATACAATATGTTGTATCAACTGCAACCTCCCAAACAAGAAATCATCGCAGACCTGCACAAGATTGTGATCAAACACCTGAAGTACTACAAGATGAAGAATGGACGGGAGCCGACCAGAATCATCTTCTACCGCGACGGTGTCAGTGAAGGCCAGTTTATGCAGGTGTGTACCTACTAACTTAGTGCTGGTACTCAACAAATATCACGTGTTTCTCACTTCACTGACCACTGCAGGGCCTTCCACACAAATTCACCCTTCACCTACCTATCCCTAATGGTAAATTTGATCCTAATAACATGTTTGCAGGTGCTACAAGTTGAGATGACTTGTATAAAGGCAGCTTGTCGCATGGAGCTAGGTCGTGAACTGCCTGTCACTTTCTTGGTGGTTCAGAAGAGACATCACACACGGTTCTTTCCCATCAATAAGAACGACATGGACCGCAAGGGCAACGTGCTTCCAGGAACTGTAGTGGACACTGAGATCACTCATCCGACCCAGGCAGACTTCTACTTGGTCAGCCATGCCAGTCTTCAGGTGTGCCATCTTATAATTACTGTTTATATATCCAAAGCTCTTGTTTTAGGTTGTATGGTGGTTTAGAATACTTTGTTTGTGTTCAGTTTCAACCATCAAATTCAGTTTATTTCAGTTTCATTGCTTCATACGAGTTAGAGACCATAGGAAGGAATGGATTCACAATCAACCCACTCAACAAAGTGATTTTAATGGCATACAAAAACATATCACAACACAGGCAAATGTCTTAAGGCTATTATAATTATTTTCTTTTGTACCTACCCCCTTCCAACACTGAATAAAAAATGTCAAGAATTGACCTAAGTAACAAAAAAGAAAGAAAAAACAGTTACTGTAAACAAACATGAAATGATAGATGATATGCAAGATATTTTTTGGAAATGAGGAAACTGCCATACCCATTAAAGAGAATTAAGTCTTTTCACTCAAACCAGAAATAAGATGATCGGAAACTGAACGCTAAAAACGGAAATGCAAGACCAGTTAGCCGCTTCTGGACTGAAGCAAATGGAACTATTTTTCTCCCTGCGTCGTCTCTTGAGACTGAGGTCTTCTATCTGCACGCATTACGTTGTCATGACAATAATCCTTGATTGCGGTCCTATCAGGATTTTCTCCCACTATCGCGGCAAAATTTACAACTCCCACTTTGACAAACTCAAAGACATCATCATCGTCACCTATGATCGCGGCAATATCTTGAAATTTGTCCATGGTCGACAAGACGTCAAAATCGTCTCCCATGATCACAGAAATTTCTTGACATTTTCACATGGTTGCAGGGACATCATCATTACCTCTGGAGATTTTAGCATCATCTTGACAATCCCCACAAACGCAAAATACAGAATTGTATCCTGCGATCAGGTTGAAATAAGAGCATCTCCCACGATTTTGAAAATACTGTGTTGTTTAGAAGAACAAATTTTAGTTATGAATAGCCAAAATTCTTTTGCAAGTGTTAATACAGTAACAAAAAATCTAAAGTGTATTAATTTAACAAAATAATAAACGATATCAGCAATCTGGCGCTCATTCTTCAGTTTAATGTTTAACCACAATTAGATTGCAAACAAGAGACGAAACAGGTTTATGAACATGGATTTTAAACAGCTTACATTTATTGTGATGGGGCAACCAGATTGGGGTGGACAAATACCTAACTCTTTATGGTGTAGATTTAATTATTACATTTAATTTGTAAATTATTAGTTTTATCCACCTAATAACTAACTGTCTGAAACGAACCCAACCTTTGAAAGGTAAAAGGCATTGTATTTTTTGTTTCGCTAAGCAAATCAAATTTGAACCTAATTGAAATGCACAATTTGTGCATGGGGTCCCTTGTGTTATTTCAATAGGGAGTAAATCTGACAAGTTTCAGGAAATATTTGAGGCAAAATCCAATGAGACAAAATATATTTGCTTTTTTAAAGTCTTGGTGTTAGTTATTGTGGATGCCATCTTATGTAAACTGTTGCTGTTATGCATTTGACATTTCCATGAATGGGTTTGTCTGACAGGGGACTAGCAGGCCTACCAAGTATCACAAACTGTGGGACGACAACATGATAAATGAGGATGACTTGGAAGAGTTGACGTTTTTCCTGTGCCACATGTTCTCACGGTGCACTCGCTCCGTCAGCTACCCCGCGCCCACGTACTTAGCCCATCTGGCTGCGGCTCGTGGCAAAGTCTTCCTGGAGGGGTGAGTCACAACAATAAGTTAACTGAGTAACTGTCAACTAAATGTCAGGTCTGTTAATCAAAAGGTCCACCGTCCAATCCCAAGAAATGTCAACAGTTTTTTGGTGCTTCTAAACTGGACTCAGCTGTCCTTAATCTGGGTATTTATTTATAATTCTGACTTAAGAAACAGTATCTTGTTGACAGTAACTAAGATACACAGATTTTCTTAATCCATTCTTCACTGTGTATTAATTAACATTCAGCATAAAACATCTACCTAGGTGTGCATCACTGTCTCTTGAGTAATTATATGTTAATGATAAATCTACATAGAAACTAGTTGTTTTTATTGATCAAATATCATTATTACCACTAAAATCAAACTCAACTCTTAAAGAAACTGAAAATATTAAACAAATGATCCTGGCTACTGAAACTACAACTGATCTTAGTAACAAAGCCCCACACATAATCATCATCCTACATCCATTCTACACTCATCCTTCACTCATATTTGGGTTAAATTGAAATACGTACCTAGTTGGCGTCCCCTTCTCAATAATTGATAATGATAAATAATTGAAACTTTTATTTTATATTGTCAAATTCACCATTGGATATTCTGTAACTCTGAATTATTTGTATTCTACTTAGACTTTCAATTGGTTTGCAGGGATCGAATCAATTTGGACAACTTGGCTATGGAGATGGAAAAAAGAACCATTCATCCCTACATCGTCAACAATGCTCCTATGTTTTTTACTTGAATTCAGTTTCATTGAAAGTTTCTTGTAGTGGTTTTGGGGAAATTTGATATATTTTTTAGTTGCCTGGTCCTGTTTTTGCTTTATAGTATTGCATTATTCATGTATTTGTTTGGTTCAATAGCTGTTAATTATTTTGTTGATTACTGGCTAAAATATTGTTTACATAAGTTGAATAAATGCAGCAAATTTTTTCTTGACACATGAGTTAGTTACACAATAGTGTATGTTAAATATGTCTTATCGTAACATAGACCAAGAAATGCAATACAATGCTTCTGTTCTGCAATGTTAAAAATTGTATTATTTATGTAGCAATAATGAAAAAAAAATCTCAAATGCATTTTGAACTTGTTAACCTGTCTCTGGTGGTGGAAATAAAAAAAATTAACAGAAATTGTCATTATTTTTTCCCTTGCGTACCAACAACTTGGATAAAGTTGGCTTTTGGAATGTGAAGTTGGAATCAGGTTCACTTTCATACCAAATTATTTTGACCTCTAAATGTAAGAAATGAGAAATATAAGCTTTTGAAACTTTTGAGCTTTATCGTAGATGTATAAATATTAAGAAAAATTAAAGTGGTTAATTTATGTAGGCCTACGTAATTTATATGAGTGGGAAGTAAAGCAACATTTGTGGTAGTAATTATATATTTTATTATTTTTATGATTATTTTTTTAAGTTTTTAAACAGTAAGACATAAAAGCACAAGATTACTTGTCACATTTAACTAAAAATAAACTTTACAATTTAACTAGAAAAATTGGAAGGATAAATAGTTTTTTTTATCATATTATCTATCTTTCTTAAGTTCAGCTTTACTGGAACTAAAATTCTAGGATGTCCTTTTTTAACAATTCTTTTGTGTGTGATATTGTGTCTGATAATATTAGTAAAACCAATTAATACAAACCAGATAAGAAGCGCAATGCCTATGTTAAAAATTCAGTCAGGGAGTATTTGTATTTCGGGTAGTTCTCGTGGGTCCTGCTAGGTAGCGAAGGGGCTACTATCACGAGCTTGCTGCCAAGTCAATTGACTGAGTCAGAGAGAGAGAGAGAGTAGCGTGGCCGTGCGAAGCTCATTTTGGTGGCAAAATTTGAGTCTGACTATTCTCCATAAGCATTTAGCTTCTTATAAGGTTTGTATTCATAGGTAAAACTCCCTTTGAGAGGATTAGGTTATGTTTTTATTGCTCAAGCAATACTTTTATTAGCAAATTTCCCATATAGGGAACAAGCTATTACCGTAGGTCTCATATTAAGACCTAGACCCGGGACCGATTTAATTTTTCATTTTGTGGTCCCCAGAGGCCAAACACACTATCCATTAAAATTAATGTGTATATATCCTATAATCTAAAACAAGCGCGTGTACGGACAAACTTTTATTTTATTCCGAGGATTTTTAATTTTTTTTGTTCATAGTCTAAACCACGACCAACTCCAGGCCGCAACCTTCAAAGTGGCAACGTTAAAGTAGCAAGTAGGGTCGTAACAGCTGTTTTGTATTGAAGCTGCTAATGGCATTTGTGTATTTACGAAAGCTTGGTTACTGGACCATGAAAATATTGACTCTGCTTTAAATGTACAGATATAGATTTTCAATTTGTATTGTTTTGGTTTTCAATTCTGTATGTTTTATTTTCAATAATTTAATAAATTTATGTTCATAAATTTGAACAAATATAGTGCAAATTAATGAGCTGATGTCACCTGTCTGCCATGTTATCTTATGGGAAGTCTCACACTAAACAACCCTACTTGTGACGTTGCCAATTCTACCAGGCTGCGGCCTGGAGTTAAAGGTGGCCGTGGTCTTAATACTTTGCACCCCAGCTACATAACAGATCATCTGTTATGTCTTATTTCAACCTCTAATACAATAAAAATTCACTAAATTGGGATTGCAGTGTCTATTGCTAAGCACCACCTAAAAATATACGACATTCTAAGGTTGGCTAAGATACTGTTGAAAGATAGTCAAAAAGGTTTAATTTACAGATGGGTTGTCAATGTGTTCATATTGGTCGAAAATGGGCACACAATATATATGCTTTATACATTAACCATAAGTTATCTTTTTGATAGGCTGCCAGGCACTTGTACTGTTACTGTGAATATCTGGGATAACCTCAGAGGGCAAGACAACGAGATGAGGCATGGTGGCCAAGGCGATGAAATGATGAACGGAAATCTTGTCTGCGGAAGTCTCTTACTTACAAATCACACTTTAGATTTTATGAATTGTGGTTATGGTTGCATGGAATGAGGATCAGGATCTTGATCACAACCCATCAAAAATACTTCTGATGTAGGTGAGATAAATTAATTTAGAGAGATTTAAAGGGAAACCCAACTGTGAAAGGAGGGTAAAATAACACGCAAAGGCTGCGATACTAGAAAATGTGGTAACTAATGAGACTTAAAAGAACATCAAAGAGTAGAGGTGAAACGACTACCAGGAGCTAAGGCGGTCCTGGTAACTGCCAAACCATCGACCAAAGTGGACATTTTTAGTTAATGTTGCTGTCAATGTCACAATTTCACTCTTCCTCACACTAAGACCAAAATAAATTTAGTTGCCGTCCCTAACTTTAAATAACTTCTTGATCAGCATTGTACGAGTTATTAAATTTACGGAAAGTAAATAAAAGAAACGTCATAACACTTAAAACATATATTTACGCTTATACTGTTACTCACAAGATGTTAAATATAAAAAAAGATGGTAAGTGATGTTCACATTCACCATCTTTTTTGTATATTTACCGTCTTGTGAGTAACAGTATAAGCGTAAATATATGTTTTAAGTGTTGTAAGACGTTTCTTTTATTTACTTTCCCTAACTTTAAAAAAACATTGATAAGCAAACATGAAATACTAAAAATAATAGCATGACTTTCTTTAAATACGCCTAATGTAAGTTTCATCAAGCAAAAACCCAGTAAGGACATAGTTTATCATAATACTTGGGAGTTTATGCAATGAAACATGTACCAAACACTAATTGCACCACTCAACAATTAAATTGGCCTGAACAGCTGATTAGTTGATTTTAATAAAAATTTAGTGTAGCCCTTTAAATTTGGAATAAAATGGTACAAATCCCGATTCTGTAAAAATTACGGTTCAAAAGTTATGGTCAAATATGTTATTTTCCCATAAAAACCCCATAAAATAATAAAAAATAGGATTTTAGAAAAAATCCTGTCTTGATTTAACATACTGTAGTAGGTTATGGTCGTTACAATTTTGATAGTTTTTTAATTTTTTTGAAATTTGTATTTTTTATGCGGATTTTCCCATAAAACCCCATAAAATAACTGAAAAGTAGGATTTTCCCAAAAATGGCTCGAACGATTTTGATAAAATTTTTGTATGTTATAGTCCTTTATATTCTGAACAAAATGGTACAAATCCCATTTCTGTAAAAATTATGGTTCAAAAGTTATTGTAAATTATGTCATTTTCCCATAAAATAACAGAAAAATCGGATTTTCCCAAAAATGGCCCAAACAATTTTGATAAAAATTTTGTATGTTATAGTCCTTTAAATTCTGAACAAATCCCATTTCCGTATATTTACTCTCACCGCTTACACATAATAAAGGTTGTTGAAAAACTTATGGGAGAAAGTGTTATATACATAGGCTATATATTATATTTACCATTGTAGGCCTATGTAAGACTACTCTGTAGGTCTATGTAAAACTACTCTAAGCTAAGCTTATGTGACTTCTTCTTGTTCACTACTACTTCCGTGTCATCTCCATAATGTAGCTTTGTGCTCTGTAGTCTGTTGATTTTATTATCAAAATAAATCTTTTAAATCTACTTTGTGTAGTTATTATTTAGAAGCCCAAGAAGAATTAATATGGTGTCAGAAGTGGGATATTTAGTTTGAACAGTGAAGTGTTTAGTATCAAGTGAATTTTCTTAGTGAATATTAGGTTAACCTCAAACCACACGATGGCAACGTTTCAAGCTCCACAAGCATTGGACCTTAGTGGCAACGTAGCTGAAAATTGGAAAAGATTTAAGCAACGTTTTATGCTCTACTTGGAAGCCCTGGGATCCGACAAGATGCCCGAGAGACGAAAAATAGCTATATTGCTGACCACTATAGGTGATGCGGCTCTAGAAGTGTATAATACCTTCTCGTTTAGTGAGTCAACTCCCAAACTCGAAGAAGTTATAGGAGAATTTGATAAGTACTGTCAGCCACTAAAAAACATAATTTTTGAACGGTTTAAGTTTCACTCATTGGGACAGAAGGAAGGTCAGTCGGTTGATTCTTACGTGACAGAACTGAAGAAAGCAGCATCCAACTGTGAATTTAAAGACGAAGAAGATATGATTCGAGACAGACTGGTGCTAGGGATTCGCGATAAAGTGATGCAGGAACGTCTGCTGCGAGATACAAGCCTCACTCTCAAGAAAGCCGTTGAGTTCTGCCGAACTTGTGAAACAAGTCAAAACCAGGTTAGAGAACTTCAAAATACAGTGGAGTCTATCAAAGTTACAGGTAGGCCTATGTCTAGTAACAATACTTCTAGGTTACCTTCTAAGGTAGGCTCAAAGCAACACAATGAATTCTTTTTATGTAAGAAGTGTGCAAACACCCATAGAGCTCGGAACTGTCCAGCCTATAACAAGAACTGTGCTTTGTGCAAGGACAAACATCATTTTGCTAAGTGCTGCCCTAATAAAGATAGACTTAAATTTAGTAACAAGGCTAACGGTAAACCGAAGAAGAAAGTTTATGAAGTTGAAACAGACACTGCGACTGCGGATCAACTTGTTGAGGATGAATATGCAATAGGCGTAGACTTTTTCAGTGAATCTGATGATCTCTTTGTTAACTCTCTAGAAAATAAGTCACCTGATAATGGTGAGAATAACAGTTTGAATGTTAATTCTGTACAAGGTCTAACAAAGCCTAACAAGTTAAATAATAGGGCTTGGTATGAAACTATTGTTTTAAGTGAAAATGATGAGGTTACTTTTAAATTAGATTCAGGCTCGGAAGCTAATGTGCTACCTTTGAAAACTTTTAATAGTTTGCTCTTTAAGCCTAAATTGCTGAGTACACCAACTGTATTGGTAGGGTTTGGTCAAAACTCTCAAGTTAAACCTATTGGTAAAGTACTACTTAACTGTTCCTCTCATAATGCGAACAATGTCAGTAATGTTGAATTTGTAGTAGCTGATGTCAATTCTGTTCCTTTACTAGGACTTGAAACCTGTGTAAAACTGAAGTTAATTGAAAGAGTGCCTATTAGTTGTAAGCCTGTTGTAAATGTAAATAGTATTTTTGTAAATCCTAAAGATAAAATTGTAAATCAGTACCATGATGTATTTGAAGGTCTAGGAAAATTTCCAGGCAAAGTTGAAATCAAACTAAAGCCAAATGCTGAACCAAGAATCTTTCCACCTAGGCGCATACCTTTAAGTTTAAATGAAAAGTTAAAAAGCACTTTGGATAGGCTAGATAAGCAGGGTATAGTCTCTAAAGTTTCAGAACCAACTGAATGGGTTCAAAATCTTGTGATTGTTGAAAAGCCTAATGGTAATTTGCGTCTATGTCTTGACCCTAGGGAAATGAACAAAAATATCAAAAGAGAGCACTATCTGATTCCCAAATCTGATGAAATTTTAAGTAAGCTACATGGTAAAAAAGTTTTTTCAGTGTTAGACATGAAAGAAGGATTTTGGCATCTTAGGCTAAGTGAAAGTAGTGCATTGTTAACTACCTTCCATACTCCTTTTGGTAGGTATTATTTTAATGTTTTGCCTTATGGCCTGTGCTCAGCACCAGAGATCTTTCAAAAGCATTGTAAAGAAATATTTGGGGATATTTCAGGATGTGAAATATATTTTGATGATCTTATTATTTTTGCTAAAGATGAAAATGAACATGACATGATCTTGAAAAAAGTACTTGACCGAGCTAGGGAAAAAAATGTTAAGTTTAATCTGTCTAAGTTCCAGTACAAAGTCCCTGAGGTTAAGTTCTTAGGTCAATTAGTCTCAAGTGATGGCATTAGGCCTAATCCAGAACATGTGAGAGCTATTGTCGAAATGGAAAGACCCCAAAACAAGAAAGAATTGTTAAGATTTTTAGGTATGACTAAGTATTTGTCACAGTATATTCCTAACCTATCGACTTTGTCAGCACCTTTGCGCAACTTAACTAAAAATGATACTGATTGGCAATGGTACCCAGAACATGAGAAATCATTTTGTGAGTTAAAGAGTAAGTTAGTCTCTGCCCCAGCATTAGCTATTTTTAATAGTTCTAAACCAGTAACCCTTCAGGTTGACGCATCAAAAGATGGCCTCGGAGCATGCTTGCTTCAAAATGGTCACCCTATAGGCTTTGCATCAAGATCATTGACCGATACAGAGACCCGTTATGCTCAAATCGAGAAAGAGTTACTTGCTATTGTCTTTGGCTTTGAACGTTTTCATCAGTTAACGTATGGTAGGCTAGTTACCGTACAGACTGATCACAAACCATTAGTTTCTATAGTTGAAAAAGATCTTTGTAAAGTGTCAGCTAGGTTACAACGTTTATTGTTAAGACTTTTGAAGTATCAGTTTAAACTCGTGTATGTACCTGGTAAATTGATGTTTATGGCCGATACATTGTCTCGGTCTTATTTGAAAGACCCTGTTACTGATGATCCAGAATTTTCTTTTGTTGTACATACTATTAGTAAATATGTGGCTATGTCTGAACAAAGGAAACAAGAATTTATTAAAGCCATTGATGAAGATGAAACTATGACTATGTTAAAAAAATATCACTTATTGGGTTGGCCCAAGTTCAAAAATGTGTGTCCTAAAAATGTACAGTTTTATTTCAATCTTAAACATGATATTAACTATGAAGGTGGTTTATTGTTTCTTAATGACAAAGTAATAGTGCCAACTAAACTTAGATTGAGTATGTTGAAGAAAATCCATGAAAGCCACCTAGGTGTAGAAAAGTGTAAAATTCTTGCCAGACAAGTGTTGTACTGGCCTAATATGTCTACAGATATAGAGGATTTTGTTCTAAAGTGTCAAACTTGTGAAAAGTTTAGGAGAAGTAATGTTAAGGAACCTATGTTAAGTCATCCTGTTCCATCAAGGCCATGGGAAAGAATAAGTGCTGATATCTTACAATTTGGTAATAATGATTATTTGGTTGTTGCAGACTCATACAGTAGATGGTTTGAATTGTGCTTGTTAAATGGTAAAACAGCAAAAAATGTAATAGATGTACTTAAACCAATTTTTGCTAGATTTGGCTCACCAGATGTTTTAGTATCTGATAACATGCCTTTTGGAAGTGTCGTGTTTAGAGAATTTGCGGATGAATGGAATTTTAAACTGGTTACTATAAGTCCTTTGCACTCTCAGTCAAATGGCCTTGCTGAAAAATTTGTCTCAGTAGCTAAGAATATGTTGAGGAAATGTAATGACTCTAAGAAAGACATTAACGTAGCTCTAATGTTGTACAGGAATACTCCCTTAAAAGATACAAAATTGTCACCTGCACAAATAATGTTAGGTCGGGTAGTCAAAACAACGTTACCAACTGCTAGTTCTGTGTTAAAACCTATTCGTGTAAACAGTAAAGAGATTAAATCAAAGTTAGAAAGTCACAAAAAAGTTGTAAAAGCTTATTATGACAGAGGATCACATAAGCTACCTCCCTTTCAAAAAGGTGATAATGTTATGGTAAAATCAGGAAAGGTTTGGGAACCAGGATTAATTATAAGAAAACACCAGACACCAAGATCCTATATAGTTAAGTCTAGTAATGGTAATGAACTAAGAAGAAATAGGGTATTTTTGAGAAAATCCTTTAACAAATTCCCTTTAGTTTCAAGTGAAGATCCAATGACTCAGTTGTATGATGAAACTGATAGGCCTATTGTTCCACCTAGGTTAACTCCTGCCTCAACACCTAACCAAACTAGCTTGACTCCTGTCGCAACCCCTAACCCATCTCAATCCCGAACAAGGTTTGGAAGAGTAATTAAAAAACCAATAAGGTTTGAAGACTAATTTTGTTTTGTAAATATTGTGTGTTCAATTTTGTTTTCATGAACTCTCAATCCTTATTTTTAGGGGGGAGATGTTATATACATAGGCTATATATTATATTTACCATTGTAGGCCTATGTAAGACTACTCTGTAGGTCTATGTAAAACTACTCTAAGCTAAGCTCATGTGACTTCTTCTTGTTCACTACTACTTCCGTGTCATCTCCATAATGTAGCTTTGTGCTCTGTAGTCTGTTGATTTTATTATCAAAATAAATCTTTTAAATCTACTTTGTGTAGTTATTATTTAGAAGCCCAAGAAGAATTAATATGTGTCAGAATGCTGATACCGTTTATTTAGTTTTCTCTCCATTCTTGTACCTCATGGTCCATTACCGTGTTGTTATCAGTAAAACGTAAAACTATGCTGTGTTATGAAAGTAAACAATGCTGTTGTGTGAAACTTTTCAATTCTAAGAACTGAACTGAAACTACTAAAACTCAGTAAAACTAATTAAAATTGCTTGTCTCAGTGCTTTTAATTTTATATATTTAGATTCTGTAACATATACTTTATGGTCTTTACTGTAAATTGTTTTAAGTCTGTTACATCAATAAAAATATTTGTTACAATTTTGTTGTAAAAAGTGAAAATATTAATTTTTGTACAATCAACATACTGTAATTAACATAATGCAGTACTGTAGCCTCTCTATTCTCTCAAGCATTAATGGTTGTACCACATGTAGAAGTGGTTGATTGTTCTGCTGAGTTTGTTGTTCTGCAGCTGCCATTACTGTAGCTTCATCTAGTTGGTAACAGACTCTCAGATAACCAGAATGCATTATCTTGCGAGTCATATTCGTTCTGAGTGACAATATTTCTTAGTAGTTTGTGAGTTTCATAGCTTCCATTTTATAGAACCAGTTCTGTTAATTTTAGGTTCTTTTGTGGATGGTTTATTTCATAATACATTCTGGCAGTTTGGCAAACACCTGAGGTTTAGTTTACCTATTGTAATTTCCTGACATAACCCTAACTAATTGGTGATAACACCTTATCAATGCTATCAGTGACTGTTATGAGATAATGATGTGAACTTCTACAGCTAGTTTATTATTTGTTTTTTTAAACAAAAGTGGCAATAATAAGTGAAACTGGTTTTTAATTCTGCAAAACCTTTAGTGACATGTCCTATAGCTACTGAAAAACTTTGTAAAACAGTGATACCTTAATAACATTTACCCCACACAATAAAAATTAATTGTACTTCTTCAAAGTGTTTTGGTTCAGTTTTGATAGATTATTGCAAAGCTTTGTGTTTGTAAAGTTCTCGGTAATCATGGGAAAGAAGAAACGCAACTCTTCTGGAAAATCCCAAGGTATGTCTAAATTGTTTTACTTTCTCCCCCTATAGCCTACATTAGTATATAGAGAAAGTACCCTTTTCGTCAAATTTTTTTAGTTTCAGTTTCGAGTGGATATATCTGTTTTGGGCCCCCCTGAACCCAAAAAAGTGGTTTTCGAAGTGATGTCTGTGCGTGTGTGTGTGGATGTGTACAGAGCTACAGACCACACCTGTAGTCCGATTTTGATGAAATTTTGTATGTAGGCGTAGGTACCAATCCATAGTATCTCCAGGCGTTTTTTTTTTATTTAGATTTTTGATTGCAATTTTCCCATAAAAATCCATAAATAACAAAAAAATGGATTTTGTAGAAAATGGCCCAAACGATGTTGATAAAAATTGTGTATGTTATAGTCCTTTAAATTCTGAGCAAAATGGTACAAACACTATTCCGTAACAATTATGGTTCAAAAGTTATTGCAACTTGTGTGATTTTTCATACAACTGATTTTACCAAACCCTTATTGTAAACAATGACTTTCTCGTCTTCAAAGGGACCAGAAACCAGCTGCAGTGTGTCAAAAACATAATTAGGGAGGAAAATAGCTTTTTAGACTATAGCAAACTCAGAGTAAGTAATAATTTAAATTATTTGCTGCAACGCAACTACATCATCGGAGTTGGCTCCAGTAGCACTTATAAATCACAAAACATCATGAAGTTTGTTTAAAAGGTCCTAACATTTATTTTTAATTTTAAGCATTCCATACAGTAACACATCACTAACTTAAGAAAATAAAAATGGTTCAAAATCCACCTGCTTCACAATATTTTACAGATTTTAGTAAGGGATCAGTTTTGTCATGTTTTTATAACAATTTGAGAAAAACCCTCTTTTGTACCAGTTGTGAGAATACCACAAAAAAATGTATAAATATTGATATCATTAGAATAAATTTTTTTGAGGGTGAATTTTTCACTGTAACATATTTGGTGTCATGGAAGCTCTAGATTAGAATAAATTTACCCAAGCTTGTCTCTATTGTGCTTCAAAATTCCCATGTTAAAATAATAAATTTTATCTAATTGAGTAATATCGGACAAGTGAAGCATTTGTAAAAACATTTTAACTCGGTAATGAAAATAACAACAGTTTTAATATTTCATCTTTTAATTTACTTTTACAGCACATTGAAATGTTACATTGATAAAGAACGTATAGCTTTGATTTTGAAAAAAAAAAACAGGCTGACATATACACCAGAGCCCTGCTAAACTTAATTAACCGGGACCCCACCCTGATCAGATAATCAAATTGTTCAATTTGGCTGGAAAGGTGGTATGGTAAAATTGAATTATTATAAAAATTAAAATGGTGTATTTTTATGAGTCTAAGTGACTATGTATTGCCACCGCAACACAATAACACTGTAATCATCTTTTGAATCATGTCAAAATTTGTGAGTATCTCCTGCGATTGCTATGAGAAAGAACACACCCACCCCATGTCAATACAAACATGCCACACATAGATCATGGTTAAAGAACCCATAGGCTTCAAAATTTCCGGTTTCCACAAAAATGTACGTACAATTCCTGGTTTTGGTTTTCTTGGTTTCTTAGTCAGTCTATGTTTCAAAACAAATATACTAGCTTTAATTTAATACATAATTTGAAATACAGTGAACTTTTTCCTCCAAGAGGTGATTCGGATTAGCTAGGGGGTTTGGATAGTCGGGAAACTGGTGAACATTCACTGGAATATTATGACTAAAAAATAAAAATTATAACAGCTCTAAATACTTCTGTGTTCTGTAACTTTGTTCAGACACCAAAAGCGAGCAAGGGAAATCATGGCTGCTGACAAAACAGGTAAAACCACCCGAGCCTTTGAATTTTCAAGACTCTAATGGTTGGAAAAGCTGGATCAAACGTTACAAGATGTTTCACAGTGGAGTGGCACTGTCGTCTGCTAGCGAGGAACGTCAAATAAACATGCTGCTCTACTGCATGGGAGAAGAAGCAGAACCACTTCTCACTTCCATGGGAATGACTGAGGATAAAAGACTATCTTTCAACACCGTGGTTGCTGCATTTGAAGATTATTTTGCAATGAGGAAGAATGAATTTTATCACCGAGCTTTGTTCTTGGGGAGAGATCAAAAGCCTGGAGAAAAAGTCGACTCGTTCATAGACGATCTTCAAAAACTGTCTGAGAAATGTAACTGGTCTTGTAAAACGTGTAAGAGTAAAGGTTTTGTAGAAGAAATGATGGTGCTCAAGCTTGTGAATGGTCTAGCCGACAAAGATGTATCTAAATCTATTCTACGTGAAGGAGCCACAAGTTTAACTGAGGCTAAGAAGATACTAAGACTGAAAGAGTCTGACGCTAGAGGAAGAGAAAATGCAAGCGTATATGATCTTTCAGAGGATTTCAATTTGATGGCAACTGGGAATAAGGTTGGATGTACAGGTAAGATTCCCAATATATACTGTAGTATAAGTTAAATTATTTTGACAATACTATGGGTGTTTAACAAGGATTATCATACATTAAATATTATGAGTTTGAACAACCACAGAAATTAAATATTTTGAATCTAGGCCTATGCATCTAAACTTGGAATAGTCCCGTTATATGAAAACAATTTTTATATCTTAAAAGGGTTTCACTTGAATGAGTTTGTGATAGCCATGGGGCGAATAAAATCCCATTTATTGTGTCTCCCAGTGTTTGCTTGGTTTTTACTCTCCTCTTGTTAAGTTCTAGCAGATTTCATCCTACCTGAAGACGTGGACAGATTCCAGATCCAGAAACTTTGTGTGATTTCAGTTTTACTATTCAATGATGGACATTAAATTTACACAATAATCCTTAAAAAACATAAACTCAACATTAACACCAAAAGTGAACTTTGAACAATTAATATAATCCGTACAGTAGGTTAGATCTACGGTAAAATCTAGATACAAAGAAATCATTAAGATAAAACTGTTCAGGTGCAAAGAAAAAAGAGCTTTATAAGAGTACAGCCACGTCAAGCAAAAAGGAACCGAGCAGTTTGCATTTCACTGAGGATGAAAGACCAATGAGCTTATATTTGAACACAGAAAGAGTAAATAAGAAGTTATCCTTTTCTTCAGGTGTGGACTCAGGAGACGAATGTAAGTTATGTTTGTTTAGTCAAAGAATATAGATTCAATGATTCAGTCAGGTCAAAATATACTTTGTCAAAGAAATATCCTCACATTTCAAGTCCTCTTAATGCTTCGGACAAACTTTAACTGTAGTGTTGTTTTGTTCTATAATATGACTAAATATGTTGATGTTAAAGCATGTTGGTTATTTTATCATATTGAAGAGGAATTTAGTTTGCAAGTTAAATTATTACCTTTTTAAATAATAGACCTTAAGTTTTTAAATGCCTCAAAAATAGTTTAATAATATTTACAAAAATAAATTTATAAAATTATCTCTAGTTTGAAGGTCCTTCCTCATAAATTCTAAATAAAATATATTCATATTTATTTAAAAACTGTGATACATTGAATAATGTCAATACTAGTAGGCCTATACAGGGTGTTTCCAAATTGTCTGGACATATTTTGTGGACTTGTTCCTTGGGCTAAGACGAACATAAAATGCCATATAAGTATGAGACTAAAATGCCTAGATTTCTGTTTATCGGTCTGTTTGTGATTTTTAAGAATTATTTTATATCGTTAACATTTCTTAAGATAGAAATTTCAAAATTGGTATAAATGTGTAGTGTAGAAGGTAAAAAGAGCTTAAAATTGTTGTTCCAATATCTGAAGCCGTTAAAATATGACCGCCATATCTTTAATGTCAAATTTCATGAAAACTGTAAATATTAAGAAAACTGTTTTTAAGATCAATAAGATAGAAAATTTAAATTCAAATCAAACGAGACCTTGTTTGTTAAAATAGGATGACAAACAACCGAGTTATCAGTGTTTTCCTACATTCGGTCACACAATTTAATAGGACTACCATAACTTAAATTTTCTATCTTTTTGATCTCAAAAACAATTTTCTTAATATTCACGGTTTTCATGAAATTTGGCATTAAAGTTTTTAAATGGGCGCCATATATTGAAACGGCTTGAGATATTGAAACAAAATTTTTAAAGCACTTTTTACCCTCTAAACTACCGTACACATTTATACTAATTTTGAATTTTCTATCTTGAAATATGCCCAAGAAGATATAAAGAGATAACATAATTCTTATAAATCACAAACAGGCCGACAAACAGAAATCTAGGTATTTTAGAACCATACTTATATGGCATTTTATGTTTGTCTTAGCCCAAGAAACAAGTCCACAAAATATGTCAAGACAATTTTGGAAACACCCTGTATTTCCAAAATTTTGGTACTACACAAAAAAATATGATTACGGTACAGAGAAAATCTGTGTTCAAATAACAATAGGTAGTTCTTCAGTAAACAATGAATTAGAATAACCTGATACTATTGTACTAAACTCTTCTATTGTTATTCTATTATGAATGACAACCCAGACATCTACCTTACAAATCATTTGTATTTGAAAGTAATTGAATAAACACTTAACTACTTTCATGTGTCAACAGATTCGACAGATGAGTTTTCTAGTGATACTATCTATTTCTTCCTGGAAGAAAAGGAGGGAAGTATTGTATTTAGAACCAAAGACCAAAAAGGAAATCTTATTCTAAAGGGAAAAAGTATCTGTGATGCAAAACAACTTGTGACGCAGTCAAATAATGGCTGTGACTGTACAGCGCACAACTGCCAATATTCAACACCCAAGATGGAGACTGCTCTTAAAACATCTACAAAACTTGTAACTGCTGGTAAAAATAATTATTTAATTTATTAAATGTAGCTTATCTTTTAAAAATTATACACAGTCGTCCTGACGAGACCTCGGATAGGAACTCAAAAAGAATTCCTTCACCCACCCGGCTTGGGGGCAAGGTCTTTCTTTAATTGATTATGTACTATACTGTAGATTATATTTCTAAAACGACATGGTTTTTAGGTGAGGTCAATAATTCAGTTAGATAAGTATTTATTGGCATCACTCACCTTCTTGAAATCAGGAAAACAGTCCTTGTCACCACAGTTTGAGTTCGTTGTACCATAGACAAATAGAAATAGAATAAATATAGACTGTCAGAGGAAAGTTCCAGCGTCCACCGCTAGGAGTGCCGTGTAGTTACGGCGCACAACGCTGCAGGCGAGAAGCGCAGGAGTCGTATGCAACCAGCAGACGCTGCATCGGTGTGTGTGGTAACCACACGGCAAACTTATCAATTATCAATTATCAGCGGTGGACGCTGGAACTTATGCTAACAGCAGCACAGCTAACGGTCTATATTTATTCTATTCGTATATGATTTTACACACACATTGATTAAAAATACAAAAATAAAAATAAAATCCAGACTAAAGTTCTCTTACTCTGACGTTTCGCCGCACCAATTTTAACGTGCGGCGTTTTCAAGGTCATTTTTTTCGCGTAAACATTGTGAGCGCCTAACCACGACTCAATACACTGTATATACTGCAGATACACAATACACTGTAGATGTAAGGCCTAATGCAGTGATTGAATAAGGTATGCAACGATTCAAGCAAAAAGAGGTGAATATTGTAATCTTGGACAAGTTGCATGGACCCACACCTAGCTTATGCTCTGAGCCAGCTATTATTCACTTAACTTGTCATAAAAAAAATTGATATTGTTTTCCTTTAAAACTTTATGTTAATTTGAAACAAAATTTTACAAAAATCTATCCCAAGTTTACATTGGAACTTTATTCACATAGGTTACCTACTTCATATGTTTAATGCAACATGTTTGTGAATAAAAATATATTAATGTTTTCTTAGACTAGGTCAGAAGAGGAAAAATAGAAAGGGAAAAATTTTAAAAACTAGTTTATCAAAACGGCAAAGCCCCATGCAGCAATTAATAAATAACTAATCTCAATGTACTGAGCAATTGTTGGAACAAAGCTAAATTTATCAAATTCCAAAGGTTTCAAAAATAGTTGTGTCCTTTCAAAATCCCTACAATTACATTATGTCCCTTCTGTGAAATGAGTGTCCTTAATAGCATATGTAATCATCTTAATAACACGTATAAATATTGATAAAACAGCCTCTCAATAACATGATTTTTTGAAGCGACAATTCAAGTTAAAATTTTCTGAGTAAAGCACTATGAAAACATTTAAGCTTTAATAACAAAATGTTATCCAGGTTATTTCTAACAGTAATTATAACAACAATGCTGTTTCCATTAGGTTATTCAGGCTCAAATACAATGCGACAATCACAGACGTTTCCAAACCAAGCTGTACCTCCAACTCATATCAACCGAGGAGAGCCTGAGATGCCGGGATGGTCCGTCTCCGAGTCTATGAGGCTGAACCAACAAAAGCAAGCATCAAACTTCAACACTGCCACAACATTCAACACAGCTAACATTCTCTCGGTAGACTCGTTTCCACCTTTGCGGCCAGAGAAAAGTAGAAGGAAGATCCGGCAAAGAAGTACAGTAATATAAAAATGTCCTATGAGTAATGATTAGTCTTTACAGTCAGATTTAATAATGGGCAATCCTAATTTACACCTGGGGATACCACGGATTAGTACCTACATACTAAATTCCATCAAAATAGGGCCACAGGTGTGGTCTGTAGCTCTGTACACATCCACATATACAGACAGACACACACTCAGACAGACAACTCACTTCAAAATCCACTTTTTTGGGTTCATGGGCACCCAAAACGGATATATCCACTCAAAACTCAAACTCGAAAATTTGGACGAAAACAATACCGTACTTTTTCCATATACTCTATATACTAGTATAGGAGGATAGAGTAAAAACAATACTTTCTTCATATACTATGTATAGGGGGAGAAAGTAAAAGGTACTCATCTTACATTCCTATTTAGGTTCAAGTTAAAATGCACCATAATGTTTGGTAGTCTAGCTGAAATGCAATATTGATCACAAGTAATTGGGCTCATGTCTTAAAAGAAACAAACGTTACCTAACATGATAGTTTCGTTTAGTTATGTTGGACAATAGTTTGCAAGGAAATACTGTAATCAGTTTTGGTTTTTGCATCACCTCTAATGAAACATAAGTTGGTTTTAGAATGAACAATATAGTCTGGTTTTTACACAGGCCTACCTTCGATGCAGTATGGGACCTACGAAGAGTTCGATTCTGATGATGAAAGTGAATATTTGGAACAATTTTACTTTAATCAAGTGGATGACCAATCACAGTTTTACAATGTGAGCCAAAATGAAGTACAAAAACCCCTTGAAAACTTTCATTTCTCTGTCACTGGACATCGGTCAAGGAAAGGACTAAGGTTTGTTGTTATTTTAAAGGAAATATATAATTTATTTGGTAAAATTGGTCACTTTTGACTTGTCCTATTTTTTTATTCAACTTTAATTTGCCATATTTACATTGAGAGTTTACAATTTAGAGAATTTTCCATAGGAAATAAGCTATTACTGTAGGTCTTATGGTAAAGACTTGTGCCTGGGATCGATATGCTTTTTTTGTTTTTATGTCCCTAGAGGCCAACAACATCGTCAACATCATCCATTCAAATGTGTGTACGTCTCTTAGACGATAACTCCTGTAAATTATCCAATTTTAATGAATAAAGCTTAAACGTTAAACGTTTGATTAAACGTACAAATAAAGTTCAATATTAACATAGCTTTTTTCGAATAAACTTTATTTGAATGAGTATGGATTATGATTGGACTATGGGGATGTGGTTAAGGGGTAAAAAATAATTTTTTTTCTATTTCTAACCCTCAAAACATAGAATTTTTAAATTTATCATTATTGTCTTATATAGCATTAGACAATTATTAATTCGTCAAGTTTTATGGACGTCGGTTTCACTGGAAACCCCGTTATCCAGACCGAGAAGTCTGGATAAGAGGGAGTCTACTGTATTTTAATTGTGATAAGTCCAACTGATTTTCTTCAACTGCTGATTTATCTTTTGAGGGTGGTGAACATAGAAATTTGGTTTCTTTGCAGAAAGATGTGTCAACAAAAGTTGAAGCAGTTTCCCCAGTGAAGAAACTCTGAAGAAATTCAAGATTAATGGATTCTTCGACATATATTTACCCGCAGCATTCTCTTTTGTACTTTTTACATTATAATCTTATCACACATTATGGTGCATGCCTATTATTTTAAAATACACAAGAATTCTAAAAGTTATTATTGTTGAATTTGTGTTCCATACACTGATCAAATATTCTTTCTAGACGCTAATTTTTTACTAACAAGACGACTACCAAACATATTTTGGTCAACTACTTTTGAATGCAATCAGTAACAACTAGTGGAACCCCGTCGAAATCGACGGTTAATCTTGAGGTTTTATGTAAATTCAGCAAACTGCGATAGATAGAGTGAAGTCATTAAAATCTTAGTCAAATGAAGGGAGGATAAGCATAATAATAAGTATGACGATTGTGTTCCCTAAAAAACGTGATTGTTGAATTCGTTTAACACAATATTTCCTACCTTTTTATCGGCTTTATGTTGCCCAAAAGGTTTTTTAGGAGTCGTTATAATTGTTTGTTCATGAGTTTGTTTCATGTCAAAGCCACTTTCACTATCTGGGAGAATGAGTTCATATAATTAGTCTATCATTTTACGGAAAGAGTCAATATTTATTACTAACAACTAATTCCAACTGCTTTAGAAAAATCATTCAGATTGTATCCAGATTTATAAGTAAATCTTCATCTTTAGTCATAAAAATACAGAATTTTATCATCATTTAAATAAGTTTTTTCTGTATTTGATAAAAATATCTGATTCTCCAGATAGCAGTAACATTCTTACTTCAATCTAAGCAATTTTAATTCCTTCTCTTGCCACATCGACCCATGTATTTAATCATCCTGTTCTTACTTGATAATTCATTAACTTAGGGGGTAGTTTTGCCTGGCCATATCGACCACATAAAGCATGTTTTTCGTGGATGGAATGAACCATAATTGTAGGAAATTTGATCACAAATCTTGAACATTTGTGGAACCAAATGCATAACCTAGTCCAGCCTTGGTAACAAATTATGCAAATGCGATGAGATGTGATGACACTGTTGTGTTTCCGAATGTGTTGTATGTAGTGAGGTTCAGATGCGTTGTTCGACCTAGCTACATGTGTACATCAAAGTAAAAACCCTGTAGGCCTGCACATTTTTCTAAAAATACCTGAATTGACATTAGTTCACCTACTTCACCAAAACCATAGATGAAACATACTCCGTAGTTAGTCTATTCCAAAACTTGAACACAGCTCTCATCCTCAATGCAAGTTACTCATCTATGACACAATTTTCCACCCGATTATCGAAAACTTTCATACCAATAAATGAATTTGTGGTGTTCTCTCTTGAATTGAAAAATAAATGGTGATTGAAAGTAGGAAAAAAAGGCAAGTGCCAACCTTACAATACATAAGCTAACCCGATAAGGAATAGTTATATGTTCCTTTGAAAATGATATGTCACACTTATTTCATAATTTAACATTTTCTAAGAGCAATAAAGCATAGATTTTTGAACAAAACATTTAAAACGTATCATAAATTCATCATTTTGTTGAAACTATAAAAAACTTACCATGCAGTGGAGAATCATTTTAAAATCATAAATAATAATGTAAACATTTAATTTTGACAGTTTCAGTAGACCTTTGAATACAATTTTAATATTAACAGCTGGTTCATTAAAAGTAGTGTAAAATTATCCATATGATTATAATGTAAACAAAATTGCAGAGTGAACTTTAAAGGCCTCTGGGGCAGAGCCCCAAGGAAATTTACCTCTTTTCTATTTTGAGGGCTCACCTACAGACCAATACCTGTCTTTAGACACCCCTACCAAGTTTCTACACCCAGCCGTTCTCTCAAATTAGCTGTGACAAAAACTCTGTTTTCCTCCATAAGAATAACATGGGATGGGACTTTAAAGGCCACTGGGGCAGAGCCCCGAGGGAATTTACCACGTTTCTCTTTTGATGGCTCATCTACAGACCAAGACCTTTCTTTAGACACCCCTACCGAGTTTCTACGCCCAGCCGTTCTCTCAAAATAGCTATGACAAAGAAAAACAGTTTCAAATTAATATATAGATGTGTACAATCTTTTTTTTAAGTTACTGACATATACAACAATTTTAAACAGTCATACAAAATGTTTTGATACTACCAATTATTGTATTACCTATTTTTTCATATGACAAAAAACTATTGACTATTGGATATTGTTGTATTAATAGGCAAAACCAATGTAATGTAATCCTCAAGCAGTGACATACACATTTTTTCAGCTTAATACAAATGAAGGGTAATTATAATTGAGGTACCACTCAATGGAGGTTTACACTTTTTTAGGTAGGTGAAATAGAGTAGATTATCCTACTCTATTTTGAGGCAATGGTCAAAGTTCCTCATCTTAAACAAGGTTCAATTTCATTAAAAAGGTACTGAATTGTGCAGCTCTTCTATATAAAATCCGTAAATTTTTATGACACTGAATAGTCCACAAATATACAGAAACACCACAAAATAATTATCAGTAGCGCTGGTTTTATTGAAAAACACAGTAAAACGGAATCTTTATACCATGTTAAATTGATCATGGTTCAAAGTATAAGAAATATATGAAAAAGATTGTGCTTAGTACAAATGTATTTGAGTAAAGGAGAAAAATAAAAGGAAATGTAGAGGATTGAAAGGAAGAGTTATAGATTACAATAAGAGTCACTTTCAGTAAGGTACCTCAAAATCTATAAATCAAATTATCAGCAGTTGTACTAAATGTTGTAGAAATTTTATTTTAATTCTGTTGTGCCGTTATGTCTTTGACAGAGGACCAAAGACGCAAAGTTAACAAGTAAAGGAGCTCAAAGAGTAACGTGAGACTGAACCCGTTGACAACCCCAATCATCCCTAACTGTAGGCAACAAACTCAGCAAAGCTAAGAATGCTGTAGCGAATTGTCGAATACACCTCCTTGTCCTTATTATTATATTATGTTAATTTCAATAAATGTGTATTTGTACTGTTCCACACACTTGTTGCCAAAAAGACTGCTATTTTCCTCAAACAAAACATCATAAGTGAGAGAGGTACAATCAGGTAGACAGCCGCAGGTACAGTAAGGGTGGCAGTCGATTCCTGCACACACTTTGACTGAATCATTGGGTCTTGGAAGATAATGTTGTACGCAGCCACATTCTCTCAATGAACAATAGACACGGCATTCTATCTCACAATTCTTCTTTGAATAAATTTTGAACATCGTCAAATTGTTTTCATAAGAAAATAAACATCCTCTCTGAGAGGGCTGGTATTCGGCTAGATCTTCCTTGGTGGTGATAAGTTTTGGTACAAGTTGTAATCGGACGTATTTGCACTCTCGTAAAGAATACTCGATAGAGTTATGTATCATGGGCACTTCACTAGGGCTGTGAACTGTGATTAAGCCGATGTCGCCTGGAAATACATTACAGAGATCTAAATATTTGTTATTCCGCTATTTTACAGCAAAATACTGATGTTCGACGCCATATATAGGAATTGTGTCTTCTTTACCATCAAATTCCAGCATATTATCAGTCGTCCATTTGGAATTCTGGTAAAGCTTTTTATTCACATCTGTCTCTTGGGATAGAGCACAGAAAACATACTACTATAACCCAGAATGCCAACCGCATGGTAAAAACAATTAATTGTTTTGAGAGAGCTTTGCCTGTCAATCCGTAGGCAGCGCCACCAGCGTTGCCATGCACTCAGCATAGCAACGCTGGTGGCGCTGCCTACAAATTGACAGGCTAAGCTCTCTCAAAACACTTAAAGCTTTTTACCATGCGGTTGGCATTCTGGGTTATTGGTTATAGTAGTATGTTTTCTGTGGATAGAGGGAAAATAACATTTTCCTCAAAAATGTCCTCATAGCGAAGTCCATTATACATAAAACCCATGTGTTTACGGCTGTTTTAAAAGAACTGTTGAAATTCAGAGTCCAAACAGCCGTCAAGTTGCTCATTGCCGCTTGGAAAGTGGTTTACGAGACCAGATTCACAAGAAGGAAGAATTTTTTTTATCGAAGAATAAAACTGATTGCCAGGAACCAATCTCTTGACATCTCGAGCTACAATAAGCGAGTTGAAGCTGACAAATTGAACAAGAAGTGTGCGGGACAAATCATATCGTCAAAAGCCAACATTACCATGTCCTCGTCATTGCACTCACTTTTCTGGGAACATTTAGTCCCGTTACAGTGTAAACATCTCTCAACACCAGCAGAGAAGTCAAACTCTTCATTCAGGGTCCCACTGGGGATGACTGCCAAGTGTTGAACGCACCTCTTATGTAGATCAAACTGATGCAGAACGCAAACACGTGCAAAAATATCCACAACCAACTGTGCACTTTGTGTTGACCTTTTTCTCCGACATATTTAAGCCCAGGTATACCGAGTCTCCACGATTCAAACAACTTAGAAAGGGGGAATTGAAATGTTGTACTCTCTGGTGAAATTGGTTCCTTTATATCAATTGCACAATCACGTTGAATCTGTTGTACTTGGGAAGTTAATGATTTTAATGATTCATCCAATGAGAAAACCTTTTCATTAAGAAACATGAGAGCTTTCAGTGATTCTTCAATTGTTAAACTCGTACCTTCTGAACTTTGTTGCTCGTTACCAAGTTTTACTGTGGTTTTAGCCTTCGTGTATTTTAATTTTGATGTGTCCAACTTATTTATCTTTAATGGCTGATTGGTTAGGTTTTGATTATTGACTACATTCTCACCATTTATTCCTCCTTGTTCTCCAATACTTTTCATTAGCATCGCTGTCATAAACATCTGATTTGTAGTAAAATTTCAGGTATATAATCAAAAGGTGTTGGGTAAACCCCCTATAAATGTTCTTTAGGCTTTCAATCATGGATCTGAGCAATATCTTATCTACACATAAAAGCTGAGAAGACTTTAAATAAACCATCTTCACTAAGTAATACATTTTAAACGCAAATAAGAATGAGATGCTATAATAACTGCTGTAGCTATTCACAAAAAGAAAGAGTTTTTAAAACACCACAATTCTGACACCAATGAAGTTAATGTTTACACACTATCATTTTATTTTATGAACAGAACTAGTTTTTCGATTAGTAAACCTTCATTTGATTTTTTCATTATCAGCAAGTTTGGTTAGGTTATGGCAGTTTAATTTTATAATTAACAAATTATAAGATTAGGATTTTTTGAGAGGATAGCAGGCTTACCTGAATGGGATTTGTATTCCTGTGCCAGTTTGGACTCTTTCTGATTTAGGTAAGCCTGCTATCCTCTCAAAAAATCCTAAAAAATCTAGGCCCTTGTGCTCTATGCTACACCCTTAACCTCAAATTATAAGATTAATTTTATAATTAACTAATAGTGGAATAAAAACTACTTAGATTAGCATCAGGGAATATTTTTAGGCATCCTAAAAAATATCAAATTCTAGGGGGCCGAAGCCCTGAAGGAAATTACCTTTTTAGTTACCATTGGTCCCTCCACCAGTTTTTATTCTGCAAACCACAAACACAATACAATTGTGGATTGGAAAGCTGGAAGAAAGTAGAAGCATTATTAAAACAAACAAAATCAGGACAAGGAGAACACTCAATGTTTTGTTTGCACTTGGAAAAATGTTGTTGGATGGGATTAAAACCCTGCAAAAGTTGTTTGTGTAAAAATCAGACTTGTAGGTTTTTAATATGCACAAACAGCATAATCTCGATGTCGTTTAGTCCTAGTCCTAAATATGATAGCGACTGAAAAGGTATGTGTGGCCAATGACAACAAAACCAAATGGGTCCATCTCCCCACTTCACAGCTGCTGCACCCTTTGTGGAACTTGAAAGATTTTAAGAAGAATATATACTTATTAAATTCAAGGAAAAGATAAGCTAAGCGATAATGTTCAGGCAATGATACCAGATAGCTGTAGACAAAATAGGCAATAAATAGCAGTTGAACATTGGGTGGTAAGTTCAACAGTTGCATTGAAACTTAGCGTTTCTTTTGTTAACTTTCATGAAATTTAATAGTAAGAATGTACAGAAGATGTTGATATAATTGTTCGGTAAATGTTGAAAATAGATAGCTTCTATCACCAAATTTACATTATTAAAGCGAAACAGTCAAATTTTGTGATAATCGATTAAGGCCATTAACTAAATAAAAATACAGACATATTTACTGAAAAGCGTTTTTGGTAGTTCTTTATTGAGCGGAACAGTTTTGTGCTGCTTCTTGCATTCAGTAGGTCCAATATACAACAAATTGCTGATCACAGCCTTACCCTCTCTTTGTAGCCAAACTGTGAAATACCATTGGTGGTATAGTTTTTGAAAAAGACACACTCTCTCCCTTTAGAAACAGCGCCAGCTGGCCAAGGTAAGGCCGTTCTCCTTTCTTACTTTTAACTAGATATTTGTTGAGAGCACAGATAGTTTTGGAATACAGATATAGACTTTAATACTTTCTCATATTGATTAATTCAGACATTTTAATATTTTAGGTTATTTAAAACAATAATATGTATTTACATACAGACCAACTTCTATTGCCTCTTTTGGTTTTTAATACTTATTTTCAGAACATTAACATAAACCTTAATATTTGATTGAGAATTATATTTTGTCGTTAAGTACCATTCATTTGTTCTTGTTATTATATCTGTGTTCTGTTATCATATCTCTGTAATTGTTTAAATGTTTGTTCCACTTATGTGCTGTGCTTGGCTGCATATAGAATTTGAAACAATTGTCTAAATTAAAAGATAATAATTTGAATACACTAAGTGGTGAAATAAGTGTTTTGTTTCTAAAGTAAATAATATATGTGAACTATTTTATACAGCGGATACAAAAAATAGCATTATTCTTTTCCTTGTACTCCATCGCAAAGCGAAGGTATAACAGCTTGTGGTAATAGCTCACTCTAAACTAAAACCATTAAAAAATATATAAAGCTGTCACTTTGACTGGGATGGTAGATACATAGGATAAATATGCAACGTTAACAATTTTTTATTAATATTACCGGTAACAGTCTTTTAAATTAGGTAAAGATAGTACAAAATAATATACAAATAGTACAAATAGTATACAAATCGTTGATTTAGATATACAATATAATATACATTAAACAGAGGAAATCAATACTTTGCCTTTTTTTTATTATATAAAAACAAAACAGATCATTATTTATATTATGAACACATCAAATGTATGTTAACTAAAATAAAATGTCATCACTACGATTAGCCGGATTAAACAACTTACAAATTTGTAAAATATAAATCACTGCTTGATTTTGCATCTAAGTTTATGTTTTCCCAAAATGTAGAAAATGTACAATACCTAAACGGCTTATTTACAATTTGGCTTTAAGGAATTTTATATCCAAATGAACTCTATTAACTGAATGATTCCTTTATAATTATTAAACCTTTTACAATTTTGTTCCTGGAAATGGATGGTAAGATTTTAGTTTGTAGCTAACAGGTTCTTAACACTGAACATAAAAAAACCTGATGATCTTCACACGGATACAATATAAAATATAATCGTGTTAAATACCTTATGAAGGTAAAAATGAAACAGGACATATAAAAAATACAAATAACCAAGATTAACAATTGGAAATTGCATCTAAACCACTATCAGTCTTAAATGGTGTAAGGAACCACATTTAATTTCAACTTGAATTTTATGAGGCCAAAATACTGACTGCAGCTTATCTGGGTGGAGTAAATCAATACAAATAAAAAATCCATGATCTCTAAATAATAATTACTGAATTAACATTATCTTTGATAAGCAAAAATTATACAGTGGAAAGTTAAAGATAAAGTAATGTCAAATAATGATCTACATAACACATGATCAATCTACAAGTCTAAATAAAACTAAATAAATAGTGTAAACACACAATAAATATTTACTCCATTGATTCAGTGGCGGCTGGATCAATGACGTAGTACAGAACGTTATCTGACAACAGCTGGTCTGATTCACTGACTGGTTCGTCAGTCAAAATAAAAGCACTTGTAGATCCTGGAAACAAATAAAAAAAAAACAAATTTTAATATCTTCTATGAATAAAATTATTTATGTAAGACAATATTTTCTTCTATAAAGCCTCCTTCAGATCAGAGTAGCTTTCTCATTTTTATAGAGGTTTTAAGGTTATAACCTGATTTAAAATTAAATGAATTTTTATGTAATCACTTAATTTTGGCAGTATAATTTAAATTTTACTAGTAGTGTTATTTAAAGGTTCATAATGGACTTTTTCCATCACAATGGTAAAATGCAATACACAAACTTTCTGAATCTGAAATCTGAACCCGTCCTAAGGTGAAAACAAACTTAACCAACATATTACACTAGGGATATATCGACTCTCGATACCCCCGATACTAGGAGATTGGTATCGGTATCGAAAATCTATCCTCAAAAGTTGATTCTGATACCGATACGATACCAGACAGGTCCGTGAAGATCGCATGATACTTTAATGAAGGACTTAAAGACAGGGGTTTGTGTAGTGTTACCAATTCATTAAGAAAATTTGGTAGAACTAATCTATAAATGATTGTATCCGTATCGATATTAGGAATTGATAAATTTTGTGATCAACACATCACTAGTCGTAATAATTATAAACAAAAAGTTACAACCAACATTGCTGTAAAAATTACGATTCAAAAGTTTTTGCAGCTTTTGTGATTTTCCCCATAAAATATCATATTATTTACTCTCACCAATATCCAAATACGAATCAACAGCTTCATACTTGGGCTTATTATTCATCATTCAACTGGGGTATTCAAACCCAAATATGAGTAAAAGATGTGTCAAGAATATAAAAAATAGTAGTTAACACAACGAACGCGTAAAGATAGTGTTAACGACATGAGTAGAAATTTAAAGCACAAGCCTAGACTATTTACGCGAGTTACGTACACTACTGTACCTATGACCCGTTTTTAATCAATAACAATCACTACTCATAACTTTTAATAGAGGTTATGTTTCCGTTTATAACCTCTCATTGCCACTGACAGAGATGCAACGACTCATTGTACCGACCAATAATTGCACCACTCATTAACAATTAAATTGGTGTTAACAGGTGATTAGTTGCAGTTCGAAGCATTACAATTTTACTTCTTTTCTCCCAATCCTTGAACCACATTGGTCCGTTATTCATGTTGTCAAGTAAAACAATGCTGTTAAGTGAATTTTTTTAATTCAAAGAACTGAACTGAAACGGCTAGTTAAAAAAACGGTCGTAGGAAAAATGACTTAGATAACTTTCTTACTGACTCAGATCATCTGTTTCTTTTGCATTTACTAAAAGTACAATGATCAAGGAAAATTCCTGCTTTGGGTCCAACCCAGAAATATTACACATTACCCTATCCACCAACTATCCTCCAAGCCATTCACAATTGTTAAAATATGCATTTCCCACCAAAGACAGTGAATTTTTCAGGAGTCGTATACTTGAACTCAACAAGACGAGATTTGAACTTTCAAACTGAAGTCTCGTCTCTCAGCCAAGAAGACATCAGTAACTTACAATACTTTGTATCACAGGTCACGTACCACTTATCGTTTGAATGTCACTGATGTTAATCAAAGTCGAGTCATCTTCTGATGGCTGTTTGGTCACCAAGTCATTGTTTAACAGCAAACATCCGTCAGGCAAAACAACCGGGAAGTTCATCACAACTGGGCACTGATCATCTGAAAACATTCATACAATACTAAAATTATGCCAATTTAAATTACAACTGGCAAGTCAATTATAGCTGGAGAGCCCAGCCAGTTTGTAACTCTAACACAACTGTAACTAAAAAGATTTTGTTACTAGAATAACTAGAAATAGAATTTCTCTAGGCCAAGATGGCAATTTGCACAGTAAAGGGGTATAAGCTAGCTTAGCTCAAAAAGGTTCTGGTATGCCATACAATATACAGAAGACACAAAAATGCACAACATTTTCTCCCCTGAGGGAACTTGTCAAGTGTAGACAAAGAGAGGACTTGTAATAGTCAAATTTGAAAATAATAATCTCAAATTATTATTTTGAACTGAGTCAAATTCTTTTTTAGGCTTTGAGTTAACACCTTACTAATCTGTGTCCTCAGAATAGTTACAAAATAAGACAAATATGAACACGCCTAACAAGAAAATATTATTAACAAATATAAAAAGAGATAAGATTAGTAAAAGCTGGAAGTAGCTTATAGTGGAAGAATATTAGGAAAATCGACCTAACAAATTCGGACTAAGTGGAAACTTAGTTTATTTTCCTCCATAAGAATAACATGGGATTTTTTTATTTAATAATAACTTTTATTATTTATCTCAATAACCATTAGAGATAGAGCAAACATTGTAATATAAAAAAGATGTATTTTTAGATGTTCTTTAACCTTTCTATTTACAAAAATTCTCTAATATCAATAGTTTGTGAAATATTGTCAAAAAAGTGAAAATTGGCCGCCATTTTCCAAGATGGCGGCTGAAGCACAGCAGGGATTTATGGGGACTTTTGAAATTTTATTTATTTAGGCTTACTAAACAACTGTGCACAGTCCCGCCGAGAGGGGGGGGCCAGCGGGGGCATTGCCCAGGGGCCCGGGCCGGGCCTGGTCTAAAATGTAGTATGTAGTATAAGTAGTTATAACGTAATAATATAATAGAGAATATTGCTGAACGTACTTTTTCAATAATTTCACAATCCATGTTGTATTTAAAATAAAACATTTTTAACGTCTTATTGATGATTTATGATGAAGATTTATTGATGATAATTGTTACAAAAGTTTTAAGTTTAAGGCTTATTGCGTAAGCTGTGGGGCACTGGCACTAATGTCTAATGTGATATTATTACCGACCGCGACGCACGACGGGTGACCATAGAATTTAAACAAACACGGTGTTTATTTAAATTCTATGCGGGTGACGCTCGCTACGATTCGTAGGATTGTATACCGGCCACGGGCAATTTCAGTTTCAGCCTGACTAGCCTGAGGGAAAAAAGGGAAATTTCGGGCTTCGGCGAGGGAGGAACTGTCGAAGCGAAGTGGAAACACTGTTTTAGTGTCAGTTCGTTGTTTTGATTGTGCAGTGAGTGAGGTTAATGTTCTGTTCTGCTGTTTACCGTGTGAGAAGTGGCGTTGCCGGCGTTGGTTTTTCTAAGCTTGTTTTGTTGTGAAATGACGATCGTTCTGTGTATAGGCCTAGTTTATTAATTGAAAAACTGTGCGTTTCTGAGAGTTTTGTAACTACAACTATGGACCCTTATAAACATAAATCGGGGGCCCTTAAAAGAAAAGAACGAGAAAAGCGACTTGAGGCTAGTAAAAAGGGATTGCATTGAGGACGTTATTTGAAGTTGGTTTAAAAAAAGAAGATTCTAGTAATGAAGACGTATCATTGGAAAGTGCATCAAGAAGTACAGAAATCTGTTGTAAGAATGATAAAGATGACAATCAAATCTCTTCATTTCAAGTTGAAAACGAACAGCCATCCTCAAGTAGGCCTAAGCCTATTCAGCTTGAAACCCCGGCGCCGTTGCGTTTGGGGGATGGGGGAGTGGAGTGGGCCCGCGGCAACGATTGCCCAGGGGCCCGAGATTTCTCTCTGCGGGCCTGACTGTGCAAAGTTTCCACTTAGTCCGAATTTGTTAGGTCGAATGGCTTTATTATTTCTAAAATTCTTGGACTATTAGGAAGCTTAATTTAAAGTGAGACAAAATCTGACCTGAAACAAAAGAGGTGGATACAAAGTCTTGCTAACCACTCATCAGCATTAAGATATACCCAAAAGATTACCCGATAGGGATTTTAATATTAAAATAAACCACTTTCTTTGTAATCAGCCATTTTACTCAATATAAGATTATCTGTCAAGAACGTTGACTACACGATACTTTATTTAATGTTATAAACTAATTTCACATGCCACTGTATTTGTATGAGACCTTCACTATTAAATAAAATCTCATTTACGTAAAATAAATATTTTAATAAAATTATTTAAATTTAAAATTGTTGCTGACAACCAGATGATTCCTTTTGACTTTGGTATAGATTATCATAACTGTTGCCATCATTAATGGTAAACACAGACCTAGCGTTGTGAGGCCAGAGGGAGAGGGAATATCTTGAACAAAAGCAACAGGCATCGAGAGAACTTCTCCATCTAAGCTGACTAACTGTTGTATGTCTGTAACAGAAATGTAACAAGTGAGGAAAACTGTACAGGTATACATTTACAGCTACAATTACGACAAGAAGGTATGGATTGTAGAAGTTGCCTTTATAAAGCTATATTACACAGAAGCCAAAGGTCCCAAACATGACGGATTAGAAGAATTTTCTTGATAACCAAGCCACTGTTTAGCCGTCATACTCAACTAATCATCAGCAGCTTTTTTATTTCATTTTATCGCTACAAAAAAATTGTATTGGTAGAGAAAAAGGTGTTCACTGAACTTATAAAACATATTTTACACAGATTTTATTGAACAGGTGCATGTTCCCGTATTTTACACTCGAGAACACAAAATTACACCACTATCTCTCACTCACCGTCAGTTCCTTGTAGAACATTTATGTCGAACGAGACATTCTGAGTGTTACCATCTGCCATAGTTGTGACCAGGTTTGTAGTAGTCAGCTGAGAAATATCTGGCATTTGCACATTCTCCATGGCTTCATCGGGATCTAAAGTACAAAGAAAAATAAACATACAGTAGACTCCCTCTTAACCGGAACGGTTTAACCGGACTACACTCGGCGGAAATTACATCTCTTTAACCGGACAATTTTTATCAGCACATCGGTTTAACCGGACTAGATCGGTAGGAAGTGGGCTGTACTGAAACGACTGTTCTCGTAGGAAATATTTGAGACCAGTGATTACGTGTCTAAACACAATGCTCTCCTTAATTTAGGTCAAATATTTGGGTTACATAACAAGTTTTCGGGGACGTCGGTTTAACCGGAAAACCCGTTATCCAGACTACTTAGTGATTTTTACAGCTTAAAAAAATAATTACTGGACTTGAGATAAGTGTTACTTCTTGTTGCTTGTCTTAAAACTTACAACAATATTTAACATTGTGAATCACCACTGACCAGAATACCACAAAAAGTATATAAAATGATAACCTAAATATTAAACAAGAACTCGTTATAAATGAATAACACACGAGTATTGTTAGTTTAAAATGATGAAAGATCATAAGTGATCTATTGACAAAAGTACAAAAACCAAAAACCTGTTCAGTTTTCTCCGATACTAAGTAAACCACAGCTACTGACCATCGACGTTGTCTTCCTCCATCAAATCGTCTGCAGCAGTTTGCAGTATGTTACTGGCGGAAGCATTGTGGACTGTAGGCACAGAACCACCTTCTTCCCTTCCCTCAGCGTGTTTGTTTACTAAAAAGATGAGAAATATTGTTACACATTTATTGACAAATTAAGGATGAAAGTAGAGAGCAATATACATCTTTGGCTTCTCCAATGCCACAAAAAATTAAAGTAGTGAAATTAAAGAACTTGCATTGATTTATCTTTAAATAAAATTGTGATTTGTCGCTGGTTTTAACAGTTTTATGACACAGGAAATATTTTGAAAGGACATTCACCTGGCCGGCCAAAAACAAGTGATGGCAAAGTCAAAGAAATCCAATAATTCTGCATCAGAAGCCTGAAAAAATTTATATCCCGAGTTCTGACGAAGTCTTACCTAAATCAACACTCCTTCATGTTATTTGTAAAAGATTACTTCGTGCCAACAAAATTCAGTTAAGACATCACATTAAATCCGCCGATTGTCCTAAGGGTACAGACTTTGCCAGTTATGAGATTCGTAACAATCGGAATTTTATTAAAAGAGTGCTGTTCTCAGACAAAGCCATATTCCACGCAGGTGGTTTTGTTAATCTTCACAATTGTCGAATATGGAGTTCAGCAAAAACTAACATTGTACAGGAACATGTGCCCAATTTGCCAAAAGTGAACGTATGGTGAGGGTTAATGTATTACCAAGTGATGGGCATTTCTTTTTCACTAAAAAAAACAACAAAACATTCAGTGACATAATTTATCTAGATATGCTAGAACAATTTTTGTTTCCTCAAATGAGGATGTTGAAGAGTAGCGCCTATTGCCTGTTCTCCCAGGAGTATTGATTTGATCTCTTTGTACTTTTTTGTAGGGTTGTGTAAAGAACATTTTTTACGCTGAGAAAATTTGTGATTTGTCACACCTACGTGTACAACTTTAGAAGTGATTGCCATATGTGACTCCAGAGATGGTACTCAACACTTGGAAAGAAATTGAGAACCGCTTTGATATCTGCAGAGCAGCTAATGGAGCTCATAAACAAATGTATTAAGGTATGAAAACACCTTCGTTCATTTAGCTTCAATTTGACATTGAATCCTTAAGCACACGCTTGTTTTTTTTACGCTGGAGTGTGCGCGGGGATCTAGCGGACACCCAAATAAAAATGGGTATAAAAAAGCATTTTTTTATTAATTTCTTTAAACTTTGGACGTAATATATATATTCAATTTATCATATTGTTGTTTAAGTCTAAGATAATACCATATCCTTTAGTTGATTTGAAAATAATAGTTCGAACCCTTTCATGATGAAATGTACTAATGGTGTTAAAGAGGGGAAAATTGCAGTTAAAAAGTTTTTATTGCAAAGAAATGTTATTTTTAATTTTACAAAAGTATAATATTTGTATTAAACCATCAAATCAATCAATATTTCATGAATTAAAACATTACCCGGTTTGTAGAAAATACTGTACAACAATTCAAAAAATTAAAAACATTCTTTGATAATGTATGTTTTTTTTTCAAACATCCTTGTCCAATGGTTGGTTTGGACGTACTTTTAAACACACTTCACAAATACTTTAAATTTTCTCCCAGAAGATTGGTTTTTTAAGGTTTCACACTTAAATTTGGTCTTGGCGTCTTTTTGTCCAAGGCAGACGGTTATCAAGGCAGACTTGTCTTTGCACTGGGAGGCTACGTCAGTGGACTCTATGGTTGGACATTTATATCTAATTGGTTTCCAAATAGGCCTAATAAGTTTTTTGGCAAACTTTCAATACTATCAAAATTATACTGATAAAGTTATTAGTACTTATTATGATAATAGATCTGAGACACTACTACGCACGCGGGGGTACACTAGACCCCCCAATGAACACTGTACTGGTAACACAAGCACGTAAGTGGGGGTATGCCAGACCCAGGGGGGTGATAACAGGTCAATGACTTGGTCAAGACTAACAACCCTGCGGCCAGAAGATAGCATATGCTGTTTTAGGAAGCTAGTGTTATGCGTGGGGGTATGTCATACCCACATGTGCGCGGTTAAGGGATAAATTGATTAATTTATCTTCAATCAGTTATTTGTTTAATTAATAGCCAAACTTGCCCTACTTAGAAACGAGTACTATTAAAATAAGTAGTCAATTCAACTTAAGCCCATAGCTACCTTGAAAGATGCAGGTTTGATAACCATGTAACAATGAAGTTGAATCCACAATTTTTTTAACCTTGGCTTGAAATTTCTCTTGACTAACTTAAGATATCTTACTAGTAAAATATAAAAACATCTGATCTTATTGTAATGATTAGGCCTACCATATAATGAATTTAACAACTTAGGTCATCTTACCATATTCTACACTGTCCCTTCCAAAAGTCTAAAATACAGACTAAGGGCATTTATGTCTAAATTAAATGATTAAATAGAGATCTGTTTTTAACACTTACTTGAAACTTTTACCTGTTGCACATTAGTTAGGAATTGAGTATTGTCCCATTCCTTAGACTTGTCCTTGTGAAAAGCAGCGAGATGTCTCTTCAGAGAGCTCCTGTAACGGCATTGTACTTTGCAATAAGCACACTGGTATCTCAAATGCCTGCTTCTATGTTTGCAAAGTTGCAATTTCTAAAACAAACAAAAAACACAAGGAAAACAGTGTTCATAGCCATTTATTGTACTTTTTCATACATTCTAAATAAACATAACTTCTAAGTAGATGTGTGCAAGGGACCCAATTTTTGAGCCAAGCATAACCAACCAACTAAGAGTAATCGTAGGCAAAGTCACAAAATTGAGCTGAGTTTTTATTCTCGTGGTTTCAGAAAGCCTTTGCAAAGATTGCACTATACCTATAATTTCATTGTGACAGCAAGAGATGTTTGAGCTAACCGAACTACAAGTGGACTGATGTTTATTTATATATCTTTATAAAGCAAGCTAAATCAACTTACCTGTGTAAAAACTTCTTGGCAATCTTCACACTGGAACACTGACTTTCCATGGATCTGTAGATAATGTGAATTAAGTGTTTTTTTTGACAATAAGTTGACCGAGCAGAGATCACAGCTAAAATTACCCATGTGAAGTTTTAAATGTTTTGTAAAATTGGATCTCTGGCGGAATTTCTGGAACAAATATACCATGTTAGCTATAGATCTACTTTTGCTACAACCACAAAAATGAGTGAAAGACACCGTGATGCCTTGTGTAGTTTTGTTACTGACTAAGGTCAGCTGTTTTTTTTGTTGTCAGAACTAGGGATGTGTTGATTCTCGACCACCGATTCTTGGACATTAGTATCAGTATTGAGAATCGATTGTCAAGAGTAGTGATACCCGACAGTGGTTGAGAAAAGTTTGAATACATATTCAAGATTCTATCAACAAAATTTGACAATGGAATTTCAAATTTTAAGCAATAAGTTGCAGCATCTAAAAATAATTAAAACAAGGTCAGCGATGTATTAACAACTTAAACACACACAAAACACCTACAGACCATGAAAAATCTGTGTTTTGGTATAACATTATTTCCAGCGTTACAAAATGCAGAGATATTGCACGGTAGACAATTCAATGACAGGGGACCGGCAAGCGCCTTGCTAACTGGAAATAATCATGTTGATACTGGTATTGTGTAGGTCATTGCTGATTAATGATTAACTTATACAGAGTCAGGCAACATGCCATTGACTTGCTAACTTGAAAATATTGACTGAAGTAGAAATCAATTTCGTCATCAAGTTCTTAATATTTTGGCCTATTGGAAAAATTATATTTCCAGCATAGACTAGATTGAATACTTTAATTAATTATCTTCGATACCAATAATACATTTCTAATATTAAGCCCAGATAAAGAAATATTTGGTTTCAATCGGAATAATTTAATCTTGTTCTCTAAGTACAGTACCACAAGGCAAAACGGAAGCAGGTAGAATTTAAAGAAAAAAATAAGACTTAGTTGTATACATTGGTTGAAATAGAAGTGGCTTTACCTTATCACAAAATCTGCAAGTGTGCGAAGGTTCAGTGTGCATGCTTTTCTGGTGGTGGGAGAGGCCTTTTTCACTTTTGAGCTTCTTCAAACAGATTGGACACTCCTGATACAATCAGATCAATAGGGGTAAGAAAACAAACATAAAACCTTAGAGATTTTATGGAACTATACATTACATTCCCATGCATAATGTGTAGCCAGTTTTATAAAAAAGGTTATTACACATACTTTCTCCCATTAGCCTGTCAACAACATTTATCACGAATAAGCGGAAGGAGTAACTAAATGATATTTTATGGGGACCGTAATTTTTAGGGCAATGGGAATAGTACCATTTTGTTTAAAATCGTAAGAACCTTAACACACTGAATTATAATTCGGTCATTTATCATAAATGAATGAATCAGTGTCTGTATACGACCTCAAGAAATGTCAGTTGCAAAACTCCAACCAGTGGATCCAGTCTCTTAACTACCCTAATTCCGACTTAACGGATGTTGAAAGCTTCTTGAGAATTTTTGCCATGGTCTCTCCTGCTGTATTCGGCAAAGTTCACCTCGTCTTGTCTCAGAGAAGAGGTGAACCATTTTCCTCAGTAATTGCCAATTGTTGTTCTGGTTCTGTATTTATTTGTTATTTGCTATGCATGTGCTATTTATTATTACTTCTTATTTATTATGTTTAAAGCGCTTAATGATTCTTGTGTGAGCATGTACTTTTTCCAATTGTAAATTATAGCTTTGCATTTTTGTAGGTATGGTATTTACTATTTATTGAACAATGGCTTTTGTCATTGTCATATGCTTAAATAATCAGATGATTATTGTTATTGTTTACATTTTATCTTTTGTGTTTAATTAGTTCTGGAATAAAGTTTACTAATTAATTTACGTGTATTTTGTCATAATATAATTTGAAAATTACTTAAACTCATATGATGATGAAAACATATTTACGGTACTTTTAATCCTGATCATATTAATTGTTCTATTTGATTCTCATCTCTAAACTAGGCCTATACAGTCTATTTGCTATTTGTGTTCATTACCCATAAAACATTTTCGTGCTTTTGTGAATGAATCACTAGTCCATCCATTCTGGAAAATCTTTCTCCACAAGTTGAACAGCTGTAGGTTTTTTCATCTGAAAAATGCATTTAATACATTTAGATCAATTACAAGGGACAAACAATTTCACACTTAAAAGTTTTTAATTATTACTAAACTAATTACAGTAGTACCTAGATAGTTTGACACTTTATGGACTTAAGGGATGTCGAACTATCGAAATGTTGAACTATAGCGAGTAAATGGAGTTTAATATACAGGAAAGTAAAAACACAAGTCTTATATAGAAAGCACCCAAATGTATTAAATACTAAAAAGCTTAACAATTAATTTCACTGTTCAGTAGTTAAGTCTCAAGTCAACTATAAATGAAAATTAATGTTCAAGTCAGCTTAAATCACATTAGTAACCATTAAATATCACTTGATAAAATAGCTCAGCCCGTGTCGAACTATCGAAGGTTTACTAATTACTTTATAAAATAAACGGTATCAGCAATCTGACACATACTTTCTCCCATAAGCTTGTCAACAACCTTTACAGGGTGTCTACCAGATTTCTCAAATGGATTTCCCGACTTTTCATTACCATTTCAATATAAATCCCGACCAAAAACTCGGTCCATTCTCCATGTTACTACACCTTTTTCCGTCTCGTGGTCACGGTATCTTCGTCATCATATGTTGTCACTCGTGACGCAGCGAAATCACTGACGATCGAAACGAATCACATGCCGAGAAAATCCCGTATTAAATGTGGGGGTGTGTGAAGCAGCAAAACATTTCAATTCAAAGCAACGATTCGATTAAAAAAAATGTAGATGTAACTCGATTCGAAGCCAAAGGAATTTTTCTATTCATACTTTTCAGTGGAGTGAAATATCTGTTTTCAATCATACATTAGAAGAAACAGTATTTCTAGAAATATCAGTGAGCTTCTTGCCTAGTTCATAATTTTTACTTGCAGCATCATGTTGTTAAGCATGTTACCTATTTTATTGTATTGATTTTATAAATAAAAATATGTTTGGGTGTAAACAAATAAAAACCTTTGTAAGATTTAAATTCTGAATCTTTCAATCGGTTTACATTGATCAAATAAGAGGATAGAATCAGAACTACAAGGTATACATAACTTCTTGTTTGGCGAAGCAATGTCTCAGTGTATGCCAATGCCATGTACTTGGATGGCAATAACCTGTATGATGAAGCAATGTCTCAGTGTATGCCATGTAGTTGGATGGCAATAACCTGTATGGCTAAGCAATGTCACAGTGTATGCCATGTACTTGGATGGCAATAACCTGTATAGCGAAGCAATGTCTCAGTGTGAGTGTATGCCATGTACTTGGATGGCAATAACCTGTATGGTTAAGCAATGTCACAGTGTATGCCATGTACTTGGATGACAATAACCTGTGCTGTATGGCTAAGCAATGTCTCAGTGTATGCCATGTACTTGGATGGCAATAACCTGTATGGTGAAGCAATGTCTCAGTGTATGCCATGTAGTTGGATGGCAATAACCTGTATGGCGAAGCAATGTCTCAGTGTATGCCATGTACTTGGATGGCAATAACATGTATGGCGAAGCAATGTCTCAGTGTATGCCATGTACTTGGATAGCAATAACCTGTATGGCGAAGCAATGTCTCAGTGTTAGTGTATGCCATGTACTTGGACATGGCAATAACCTGTATGGCTAAGCATGTCACAGTGAAGGCTATGCCATGTACTTGGATGGCAATAACCTGTATGGCTAAGCAATGTCACAGTTTATACCATGTACTTGGATGGCAATAACCTGTATGGCTAAGCAATGTCTCAGTATGAGTGTATGCCATGTACTTGGATGGCAATAACCTGTATGGCTAAGCAATGTCATAGTGTATGCCATGTACTTGGATGGCAATAACCTGTATGGCTAAGCAATGTCTCAGTATGAGTGTATGCCATGTACTTGGATGGCAATAACCTGTATGGCTAAGCAATGTCTCAGTATGAGTGTATGCCATGTACTTGGATGGCAATAACCTGTATGGCTAAGCAATGTCACAGCGTATGCCATGTACTTGGATGGCAATAACCTGTATGGCTAAGCAATGTCTCAGTATGAGTGTATGCCATGTACTTGGATGGTAATAACTTGTATGGCTAAGCAATGTCTCGGTGAATAACTTATATAATTAATGTCAATCATTTGAATAATGTCAATAAAGTTATATGGATATTGATAGTCAAAGTAACAGTATCAATGTAACAGTCAACTATGTATATGGATGGAAGTTTTGCAACTCGTTCATCCCTAACTTTGAAAGGTTAGATTATTCCCGACTTTCGGCCAAAATTCATGACTTTTTCACGACTTTTCCCGACCTTTCAAAATCCCCGACTTTTTCCCGAATTTCCCGGAATTCCCGACTGGTAGACACCCTGCTTTATAATGGGTAAGCGGTGGGAGTAACTATGATAATTTTGTAGAAAAAAAACACAAAATTTACAATAACTTTTGAACCGTAATTTTTACGTAAATAGGATTTGTACAATTTTGTTCAAAATCTAAAGGTCTTTAACATAATAAATCTTAAGCAAAATCGTTTGGGCTATTTTCGAAGAAATCAGATTTTTCCGTTATTTAATGGGTTATTTATGGGAAAATCCCCATTAAAAATCAAAATTTCGAAAAATGGAAAAAAAAAACGCCTGGAGATACCATGGATTAGTACCTACATACCAAATTTAATCTAAATCGGACTACAGGTGTGGTCTGTAGCTCTGTACACATCCACTCATACAGACACACACAGACATCACTTCGAAAACCACTTTTTTGGGTTCAGGGGGGCCCAAAATGGATATATCCACTCAAAACTCAAACTCGAAAATTTTTGACAAAAACAATACTTCCTCCATATAAACAAATAACTCTCATTTTTACTTTCTCCCCCTATACCATAGTATATGGAGAAAGTATTGTTTTCGTCAAAATTTTCGAGTTTGAGTTTTGAGTGGATATATTCGTTTTGGGTCCCCCTGGACCCAAAAAAGTGGTTTTTGAAGTGATGTCTGTGTGTGTGTGTGTGTGTGTGTGTGTGTGTGTGTGTGTCTGTGTGTGTGTCTGTGTGTCTGGATGTGTAGCCTACAGAGCTAGGGACTACACCTGTGGTCCGATTTCAATGAAATTTGGTATGTAGGTTCTAATCCGTGGTATCTCCAGGCGTTTTTTTCATTTTTTTGAAATTTTGATTTTTTATGGGGATTTTCCCATAAAAACCCATAAAAAACTGGAAAAATCGGATTTTCTCAAAAATGGCCTGAACGATTTTGATAAAAATTTTGTATGTTGTAGCCCTTTAAATTCTGAACAAAATGGTACAAATCCCATTTCTGTAAAAATTACGGTTCAAAAGTTATGGTAAATTATGTTATTTTCCCATAAAACCCCCATAAAATAACAAAAAATAGGATTTTAGACAAAAATCCGGTTTTGATTTAACAGAGTATGTTATGATCCTTACAATTTTGATAGTTTTTGTCATTTTTTAGAAAATTTTATTTTTAATGGGGATTTTCCCATAAAACCCCATAAAAAACTGGAAAAATCGGATTTTCTCAAAAATGGCCCGAACGATTTTGATAAAAATTTAGTATGTTATAGTCCTTTAAATTCTGAAGAAAATTGTACAAATCCCATTTCCGTATATTTACTCTCACCGCTTACTCATGAGAAAGGTTGTTGACAATCTTATGGGAGAAAGTATGTGTCAGAATGCTGATACCGTTTATTTATGTTAGCTTAAGGATTACATTGAATATATAGTCCAGGCGCTAAACGGGTTGAGTATGCACTGAAAGTCTGACAAAATTTGACTTTTGATTATTGTTGGGGACATCTAGTAGATGAAAAAAATCGATGATGTCGCATTTCTAGGGTGGTCACAACTCAGGGGGAGGGGGGGAAGTTGCGCGGGTCATCGGTTTACGTTTTCGCGTCTAACTCACAAACGGTTAATGATAGAAAGGTGAATTAAGCGTCTATCTACGCCTAAATATGTTGTCCTTCAAAAAGGTTATTACAACCTTTCTTCTATCTCTTATACTTTAGGCGCTAATCAACATTTATTGCAAAAAATAAAATTTAAAAATACTTTAAAATGAAATATCAGAAATATTGCGCTTGTTTAGGGCATATTACAAACTATTTATGGTTAGAAAAACTAACAAGTAGTACAACAGCACCAAGTTTAAAGAAATCTGTGCAAAAACAACAGAGCTACGTTGATTTCAGTAAGAGTAAAAGTGGAAAATTCGTAGTAGTATCGAGGCGCGCATGGATGGTACGTAGCCCAGAGTCAATATAGGTTTGATGTTGTAAGTAACTATGGGAAAGCTGAATTTTTCTATGCTGTTAGACCATGTTGAGATGACCATTTTCCCGAAAGTCAACACTCCTCCCCCCTTGTGCTTTCCTTTTAACACCCCTTTTTAGATAAATTTACAGCCTCTTAGCAATTAAGCTATAACTTTAAAACGGGTAAGGATAATAATGCAATCTTTAATTAATCATTTTGCGTTACGATAATCTACAAAAAGAATTATGAGATAAATAAATATTTAAAAAGAACTATTATGGATTTCTGAAGAAGAAGAAGAAGGAAATTTGTTCATTGTAATAAAATATCAATACAGTGTTTTTTTATTTAAATGCAAAGAACAATGGTCGAAGACCGTCTGTTTTGTGTTAGACACACTGATTTTAAAATATTTTAAAACAGTTGAAAAAAATTCCATGAATCACATACAATTATTCAAAAAATAAACTGATTTCAACTACAGAATATACACAAATAGCACTACATACTAATACAGATCAGATAACAATTGAATGAATAATACAATTTAAATGTAGCCTACTGAGAATCTGAATTTTTCCTACAAACAGTTAATAATTCATAAAACAAACCTGTTACTTTTATAATTACTTTGATAGATACTTAACAAACAATGTTTTATAAATTTTTTAAATTACATAGATTTTTCCCATTTTTGTATTGATATCTCAATTCTTAAATTTAATAATTATACTCCATTATCAATTCCCACCCTTTACTCCACGCCTCTTTAAGATAATTTCCAAGTGCCCGCCAATCTTTGCCATTTAAAAATTCAAAAAAAACTCATATTCATTTAAATATAACTTGTTGGACCAAAATTGACGTATCTTTTTTTAAAATTGGACATTCTGCTATAAAAGGGTACACGTTTCATCCCGGTTGAGATTACATAGTGAACATACATAAATTTTATTTTCCATATAGAGTTAACTTTTTATTAGACGACCCCCTTTATTTGTAAAAAATGTTTTTAGGGATGATTACGAATAAAAAAAATATATCCACCATTTTCCAATATGGCCACCAACTTTGTTATTTCTTATGGAATACGCTGTATTTTAGTATTCTTTTAGAATTTAAAAGCTATTTTTTTCTTCGTGACATTTTTTCTCTAAACCTACCCCATTTAGGAGTTACAGCCTGTTATATCTAAAAGAAAGGCTTGTGGTGTACATTCGGCATCCTGTAGCTCATAAACGAGTAAGTTGAGAGAGAAAGTGCAAAGAATAAATAAGTCACATATAAGTCCTCGTTAAAAAAATTATATATAATACGTTAAAAAATACTGATTTTGTTGTTTTGAAAATGGCCACCATTTTCAAAAATGGTAGCTTACTTTGATATTGGGACAATTTATTTTATGGTTTTTTTTTTATGTAGATGTGATTTAAAAACTTGTTTATTCTTTGTATTTTCGCTCTTAAACTTACTCGTTTATGAGCTACAGGATGCAGGATGTACTCACAAACCATTTCTTCTTCGATGTAACTCCTAAACAAGTAGCTTTAGAGAAAAATGTCAAGAATAAAAAGGTTTAAAAATTGAGTGTTTACATTCTAAAACAATCATAAAATACAGGGTATTCTATAGGACTAACAAAGTTGTCAGCCATATTGGGAAATGGCGAACATATTTTTAAAATTCGAAACCACTAAAAACACATCTTAAAATAAAGGGTAGTGTCCCATAAGAAGTTAACTCTATATCTCATAATAAAAAAGTTATCTATTGGTTCACTTTAGGTGAGACACCCTGTATAATAAAATGAGGCTCTGGCGTACAGCAGCAAATGCACGATATTCATTCATATGTATCCACTATAGTCTGTATATGTACTGAATGAGCTACATAATGTTAATATAATCTATATAAAGCGGCAAATTCAAATACAAAAACCATAATATACGTAATTTTTTTCATTGTTGCGGTGCACAAAAAAATCAAATAAACCAAAAAATAAAAAATAAATAAAATAAAAATCAATTTACTGTACTATCTATAACCACTATATGCAAACAAACTGTTAATAACTATGTATCATTTTAAAATGTAAACTATGCACCCCTAATTTTGTATCAAACATTTTGTTGTGCGACCTCGTATAAAAAATCTACAAAGAAAAGTTTCATAAATTAATCCATAAAAATTACTTTTTTATGTTTATGATATTTTTTAACTATGAATATTTAGGATACCGTGGTAAATACACTTTTTGTAGAATATCGTAACGCAAAATTATTAATTAAAGATTGCGTTACTATCCTTACCCGTTTTAAAGTTATAGCTTAATTTCTAAGAGACTGTAAATTTATCTAAAAAGGGGGGGGGGGGTAGAGGAAAGCACAAAGGGGTAGGAGTGGGGACTTTATGGAAAATGATCATCTCAACATGTTCTAACAGCATAGAAAAATTCAGCTTTCCCATAGTTACTTACAACATCAAACCTATATTGACTCTGGGCTACGTACCATCCATGCGCGCCTCGATACTACTACGAATTTTCCACGTTTACTCTTACTGAAATCAACGTAGCTTTGTTGTTTTTGCACAGATTTCTTTAAACTTGGTGCTGTTGTACTACTTGTTAGTTTTTCTAACCATAAATAGTTTTTAACATGCCCTAAACAAGCGCAATATTTCCAATATTTCATTTTAAAGTATTTTTAAATTTTATTTTTTGCAATAAATGTTGATTAGCGCCTAAAGTATAAGAGATAGAAGAAAGGTTGTAATAACCTTTTTGAAGGACAACATATTTAGGCGTAGATAGACGCTTAATTCACCTTTCTATCATTAACCGTTTGTGAGTTAGACGCGGAAACGTAAACCGATGACCCGCGCAACTTCCCCCCCTCCCCCCCGAGTTGTGACCACCCTAGAAATGCGACATCATCGATTTTTTTCATCTACTAGATGTCCCCAACAATAATCAAAAGTCAAATTTTGTCAGACTTTCAGTGCATACTCAACCCGTTTAGCGCCTGGACTAATATATGAATTGGTGGAAATATCTGCTTCGTTGTAATCGGAAAGGTTGCTAATGCCGCAGCTAGTTTCGGCTTTCAAGAAGTCATCTTCACCTCACCAGAAGGTCGTCGATTCACATATCGTACATAGACACACAAACACGAACATTGAAACGATAAAAGGTACATGTCTTGAATCTGCATCCATTCGGCCATGACACATCATTCCCAATACAGCCAGGGCCGCCACCTTTGGTTGGGAAAAAAATTGGGACAGACCCTCCTCCCCCGGATTAACATGGGCATAAACACAGGCCCAAGGGACCGAAATCGGGACTCTCCCGACAGAATGGAGACTTGTGACAACCCTGACCGCTTTTAAAAATGGGCCCTGTGGGCTTGAACTCAGGGGTGCAAGAGGTTTTAGGTTTGTTTGGGGGAGCAAGGATTAAAAACATTGGGCATATGGACCCACGGCTGGCTTGAATGAAGTACAATTTATAAACTCCAGTTTAAGATCACTTTATCCTGCAGCTGGGGTCATATACCAGCAATCTCACAACGGATGTTTGCTCCCAAACCGTCCAATGTTTGTGGTTTTTCAACATGGACAAGTTGCTTTATTAAGCCCAACAAAATATTATTATGATGATATTCTCTGTGTTTTCCAGGGAAATTTTACGGGTGGAAACTATTAGCATCCCTGTCAATCAGAACCCTTTTTACCAACATTCCCAAGTTAAAACGCTGAACTTTTGGAAACTTACGATGTCTGTGTCTATGGAGACGAGCCCCTGTAATGCTTGTGTGCATAATCCCACAAAACTCACAAAGTAGGGAACGATCTGGTTTAACGTGAGTTCCTAAAACAATTCATAAAAAATCAGTTGTTTATTTTCTGCACAGTAAAGACAAAGTGGATTGTATTGATCTTTCTAAAGTTTAAGGTTCTGGTAGTTTCAATAAGATAAATCAAGGCAAAACCAATTGATAGAAACTAGAAAGGTAAGATTATTTTTGCTAGTGTAAGTAAAGTAAATGTAGTCAGATATTGTTTGGAGATGAAAAAATTAGGCCTAAATTATGAATTTACATTTACTAAAGAATAACAAATATTGAATTAGAGAAGAGAGAGGGGTAGTTACTAATAATAGCATATAAATTAAATATTTGCAGCTTTTATTTTTATAAATAGATGTACATTAGACTCTCAGTAATCCGGCAGATATAGGACCGTGATACAACCAGATAAGTGAAAATGCCGGATTACTGGAATGTCATCAATAAAAACGCAATCAATTAAAAAGCACAAAACGAGCGATCAAGGAAGGCTATGATGATGTATATATTACCGCAAAGCTCCTAAATACAGTCACACTAGACACTGTGAATTAAACTGTTTACACAATAACGTGTCTCAACTTGAATACCCCACCACACTTGTCAAAAAACGCCAGATCACTGCAGTGCCGGATTATAGACGGTCTACTGTGACATTAAAATTATTCATGAATAGCATATTTTTAAAGAAAATTGGCAAATTTGAGTGAATACTTTACATGTTGGTTGGAAGAACCTAACATACATTATTTATGTACTCATTGTTCTTACGTAAAATATTTTTAGGTTCATCATGAATAACAAATAACTTTTTCTTGACATTTAAAGAGATTAAACATCGGCAGAAAAATTTCAAATGTTTTATATCTAGATAGCATAATAATTCATTGGTCAAGAAGATATTACATCTACTTATAAAAAATGAACAAATATAAAAATAAATATCAGTGATAGCGCCATGGATAATTATATAAATAAAAAGGATCAAACTGGAAATAAAATCTTTTATCAAATCCTGCAGGGGGAATGATAAAAACTAAATTGAAAGGATATCAATGCAAACTTACTTAAAGTCGGATAGTTTTTGTGTTCAATAAACTCTTTTTGGGAGTTAAACTTTTTGCCGCATAATGTGCACGTCTTCCCATTGCTGAAAGGGCAGTTGTGGGTCAAAAAAAGTTCTGCACTATTTGAGATCAGATGGCACCTACAACTCCACGTGTCACCTGGAACATTTCATATTTCTATATATTTTGCATATCCAGTGCAGTCAGTCCTACCAACTCAGAGTAATGGGCAGCAGAAAAATGACGGGATATTTTATCACAAAAATCTTCTCAAAAGGTGCTAAATCGCAAAGACATGATATCTCTTGGAGGTTTTTATTGTTTTTATTTTGATTCTTTAATGGTTATTTTTGCATAAAACCTAGAAATAATAGAAAACATAATTTTTTACAACTTATTGTTCTATGAATATAATCATTTTAACTGCAACAATAAGTTACGATCCTCAAGGAAGTAAAAATTAACGTGTGAGTTTGCTGCTACTTTTAATTTTTTATTATTGGGGACATTGAGCACTAGTGTGGATAATATGTTTCTCTCTCTTATTTTAGGGCCAATTTCATAATGTTGTGCTTTACTGTTTAGTTCTAGAACCAGAGGACAAGCTAATGTAAATAATTACACAATTTTATTTGGTTAATCTAGTTTTTAAAAAAGTGAAATAACAAGAAGAAATAGTAAACCAAATCACACCACACATTAACTGCATAGAACTAACATCAAGATAGACCTGTACTTGATAAATAAGAATGATGAATGAGAGAGCATATACTTTATCTATGGTTGTAATGTAGACCACTATGTTATCCCTGGCTTGCCTATGAATGTGACTTAAATGTTGACTAATTTACAAGTTCTTTATTGTCTTTAGATTGGTGCACAGACTTGTAGCCTATGGTGACGGGCAGCTAAAGTAAAAAGTAGGGATGGTCAAATCTCGAAATTTCGGGAAATTTTCGGGAAATTTTAAATCTCGTTACACGAGACGAGATTTCTTTTTGACCGAGATTTTAATCGAGACGAGAATAAAAATAAAAAAATTAAAAAAAATTAAAAACGCCTGCAGAAAGTCAATGCAATACCCGCAATACAGGAGCGTGTTGTAGTTGCGTTTCCTTTGCGAAGGCGTTCTTATTTAATTAATTCTTTTAATGTAAATATTACTTTAATAACATTAGAGAAGTTTTGTTAAGTGTAAGCAGTGTGAGGAATGTTTTATTACTATAAAAAGTCAAAACAAGTAAATATTTTATAAAAATTAAGAATTGCTTTATTTTATGATTTATTTTATTTTAGGATAAGTTGAACTCTATCCTAACTGATATCACTATGTTTCCTAATCGTAGGCATTTTTAATAAGTTAGGCGTGATTAATAAAAAAATGTTATGCTGATGTTTTTTAATAAAAGATTGTAAATATTCTTGCCTATTATAATTATTTTTGTATTTAAACAGTCATCTAACAATGTTACAAAATCAGGTAAAAATTTTGAACGTGCATTTCCCGTTGTGTATGAGAAGGGAAATCCCGTCTCGATCTCGTCTCGAAATTTTATGAGAAATAAAAAATCTCGTCTCGTCTCGTCTCAAACTAAAAATCCAATCTCGTCCATCCCTAGTAAAAAGTAAATAGTTACCACTGCAGTAATGTTCCTCCATGTGTTGATGTAAAGAGGAGAGAGAGTAGAACTGGAGTCTACAATACTTGCAGACTATCCGCATCTGCCTGATAGAGTCTTGTGTGTCTTTCGCAATGGAGCAGCTCCGTCGATGGTTCTGCAGATTCTCGTTACGTGCAAACACCTAAACAGACAATGGTCTGACTCTCTTAACATTTGTCTTGACCAAACTAACTGTAAATACCATAACATTCTCCACCATATATGTGACATATGCATCACTCATGGCTTGTTTTCAACTACAGGGGGATGAAGAAAAATATTGTTAAATAGATTTAACAATTGTTTGATTCCCATCCCGACTAAATTACAATACGCTTATAGGTAATGTACACAATAATTATGATGAACACAATTAATAATACGATCACCAGTCTCGGCTCTTTGCAGACGCAACCAGATTTCAAGAGAGGACATCTTAAGGAGTTTCAGTAAAGGCAGACAGCCTGTTGTAGGAGTGGTTCTTATCTTAGCTTACAAACAACTCAATGCAGAGAAGGATCAATCCATCCATTTAACTCTTAAGTTAAATGTTCCCAGAGTATTTTCTGAACCTGTAAATCCTTTGGGCTTCTAGCTGGACACTAAACTAACATGGAATGACCATGTCCTGCAGGTTTGTACCATGTTTTCAAAAGCTATTTTTTTGTTAAGGAAGCTAAAATATGTTGTTACTAAAAGATATTTGATTAATGTCTACCATACAGTTTTTCATAGCCATATCCCCTATGGCATTGTATTATGGAGACAATCACCAACATTTTCTATAATCCTGCTCCTACAAAAGAAAGCCCAGCGTATCAATACCTCAGCCGATTATCTTACCCACAGTAGGCCTATTTTTCAGTGACTACACATTTTGATAGTGTATAGCCAGTATATTCTGAGTTTCATTTTACAGATCATAGAGGACATCTCATGTTATAAATGCCCAATATACAAAGGACAGCTGGGGCTTGTTTCGATCACGTAAAAACTGCCTCTAATCTTGAAAGGTTATCAATGAGAACTTATTTAGATTCAAGGCTGACTTAAATTAGATTAGTAAACTTCTGCATCTTAAAATTTTAATTTACTAGAACTTCTGTATTGTTAAGTCTAAGGTCACGTTTCATCCATGGCTGTCATTATATTGATGAACAATATCAATAGCCAAGCCAAAGTTAAGTTACAATTTTATTTATTAAGTACTAGCTGGCCCGACAGACTCCGTCCTGTCCTAATGTGGTTTTATGTCAAATGCTCGTTAATTTTCAAGATGAGCTCTTTTGCAATGCTCAATCACGTCCTGGTTGAAGTTCGTTTGCTACGCTTACTCACCTTTAGGTTGGAGCTCGTTCGCTGCGCTCACTTGCCTTCAGGTTTAGCTCGTTCGCTACGCTCACTCACCTTTTAGTTGCAAATTAACTGTTGTCATAAATTTAAAAAAGTAATAGTGCTGCACCCTGTTGGTAAACCTATTAACTTTTTAATGCTATTGAACATCGCAGAATCAAATTGTTTAGTTGAACCAGCTGTTAAGATTCTTTAATTCCATTTAAATATAAGTACTCGTAAGGTTAACATGGGAAACTCCAGAGGCACTGGGGCGGGGAGCCCTTTTGACAGATCTGCACCAAACTTCACACAAGCCATCTTTAAGTAATGCCTGAAAGTTTCATTACAATCTGTCAAGCGGTTTCGGAGTCCATAACGTTCAAATATGTATATATACATACAAACTTCCTCTTTTATAAATATAGATTAACCAACCTACCATAAAACAGCTGTTGCACTTGAACTCCCCAGTGTGTTTCCTTAGGTGTCTGTATAGGTATATTGACTTGGTAAAGATTTTGGAGCAAATATCACATTTGAAATCTCCACCTGGCTGGAAAGAACAAATATGATCAACAAGTGTTGAAAACATTGCACAGAAAAAAGGTTGTTTACTTAGACTAATCATTAATTGAAAGCCAATGACAAAAGAAATGGCAACTGAGTACCAATTTCAACAATCTAAACATTATTTTGAATTAGTTTGCATGGTGTAGGCCTAAAATATGAATTAATGTTTTAGCTTCACCTAGCTTTATAATATAGTATTCAGGGTGAAATTTAATTTTGATATGGCTGGAACGCTACCAATCGACCTTCTAATAAAGGAACATCTACAGAAGTCTGTAAAGAAATAAAGCAGACTGCTTCAGAGGAAACTGATAAGGTGTAGATCGCCTCAAGAGCAAAATATTCCCGCAGCAGCAAACCTGCAGACTAAGCGAATTTCCATTCCATTTGCCTGATTGAATTTTCATTAGCATTAGGTTTAACAAGTACATAGGTTTGCTGCTTCAGGGAGGGTAATTAAGTGTTTTTAGTAAAATATTAATAGCTTAGCATAAAATAAATAAATTTGCCAAGTTCAATCAAAATTTATCCATAAACAAGCAAACTACAACATTTTACAATATTCTCCATTAAAAATACATGAGAATTTTAAACTTACAGTTTTTTTAATTTTCACCGTAAGTAATAATCGTACAAACAATTATTTGGTTTTTAAAGCTCTTAAAAATGGTCTAGAGAAATTTTGTGTTTTGAGGGTCAAAAATGAGAAAAAACAATTTTTACCCAATAAAAACCCTGTAAAACCTCGTTCCCATGGTCTGATCATGCTGGTTTGCGAACTCATTTAAGTTATGACAGGATATGGAGCCTTCAGAAGTTACCTTGTGAGGATTCAAAAGGTCGAGGCAGATACCTTTTTTTACACTATGGAAACCTCAGAGACGAGAGAGAGCATGCAATCTTTTGGTGCCCAAAGTTTGAAAACGAGCCTCAAAATATGGAGGAAAGCCTCAGCCAGAGGGTCAGAGCTGATAATCTAATCAATAATGTTAGAGAAAGAAGAAAACTGAAAAACAACAGAAAGTTTCATACGTGAGGTTATGGAAGAGAAAAGCTGTTGAACTGAAACATTAAAAAACCATCCTGACCATGAAGTAATGCTGAAAGGTGATCCCGTGGCTAGTTAGGGATTGATTTTAGTGGGTTGCCCGGAAGAATTGGAAAGTGGCATCTCCACGTACCCTTAGTGTGCAAAGGCATCAGCAAACAGATTTTATCCCCTCTTGCAAACAAATCTTGATAAATATGATTTACCGTACCAAAGTGTCATAACTATAACTATTACGATTTTTGTTCGAAACAGTTGATTTAACAACACAAATAGTAAAAGAAAACTGTACAATTGACACATCGTTCTTACCTTAGATTGATTATCTCTCGTCACTACTTTGTTTGCGTGTGTCTCTTCATTTGTCTGATCCACTTTCGCATTATCGCTGCAACACCCATCGGTTATTTCATAATCACTGGCAAAAAAATTATCTTCCGTCTCAGTCAGTAACTTTTCAACGATTCTGTTCCTTTCTTCATCTGTAACATCATTGCAAGTAGCAAAATCTGTCTGAAGGAATTCGTTTTTCTCGAGGGAATAGAAAGATGTTGATTCCAAAGACGAGTTATGAGGATTGGTAACATCAGAGGGTATCAAGGACGGCTCCACTGTTCCGAACAAATCCAAACTTCTACTATGTTTCAAGTTACAGTCGTCATTGATCATTTCGTCAAAGGACTTGGTCAGGTGAAAGTCAATATCATCGCTCAGGTCAAGTATTGGAGGGTTCAAATGAGATTTTACAATAAGATTTTCTTCCAGGTTTTCTTCTCCATTTTGTAGCTGTTGAAACTTGCAATTTTTATTCATATCAATCTTGTCTTCAGGCCTCAGACACGCTGATTGTGTAGCAATAGTTTCACTTTTGTCTTTCTCTCCATGTTGTTCTGAAATGTTCCAAGTGTTATTTGCTAAATCCATGCTCTTGCTTGTATCGATACTTGAACTATCAGGTTTACAGTTTGTAAATGCTTCTGGATGAAGGTTTTTTGAAATGTCGACATTGACTGACTGACTAGTAACATTGTTATCATTCACACTAATAACGTCTGACGATATTGCTGCACCAGGGTTCACGACTTTTACAGTATAAATGGTTTGGTTTAAGTCTGATACATTTTTTGCATTAGAGTTTTTTTCCAGTGCTTTTTTGTTACATATTTCTAGATGTATTCGATAACTCTGGAACAGAAAATATGATTATAGAATTCTTTTATACATGGGAAATATTATAGAATAACGTTGAATTTTATGAAGAATTAAAGGTTATAGGTATTACTGTTGGATTGATCAACTAAATCGGATCAATCTGAAAAAGAAATCAGATAATTTAACCCTTTTTATGTATTCAAAAGCAAAAATATAATAATTGTTTATAAAAAATGAGTTTTCTGTTGCTTAAATCAGATTTGAAATATAATATAAGCAATGGTTGGATACTGGTGGTTGTCTTACAAAAAAAGAAAGAATCGAATGGCCAGTGTAGTATTTTTATTATATGACATTACTACACGAAAATCCACTCTCAACAGTAAAGAAAGTATTTAAAATAACCATTGGACATGGATTGTGTTTGAAAAGCTTTAAGTGCATACTAATATTAGGGAAAAATAATTATTAAGCCAAGAATTGGAGAATGTCTACAGTAGAATTCCATGAATCAATGTTTACTCACAATGTCCTTGCGGAAGTTGACCTTGCAATGCGGGCAGCGCAGAGAGGGTTTTGACAGGCGGAGATGAGTCCTGAGATGTCGAGCAAACGCAGCTACGTTCTCCTCTACCTGGCCGCAGGTGGAACACTCCCACTCACTGCGACGCTCGGCACCCAGTAACTCTCCTGGGAGCACATCAGGCGGCATCTCACGGTAGTAATCTGAGGTAAATACATTCTTACACATCCTGGTCCATCTCGCTTATTTGCAAAAGTATACTGAATAGGCTTAGAATCAGATCGATTCTTACAGAACCTGGTCTAACTCACTTTCTCCATAACATTTCTTATTAGTATTTAGATGCAAAGTTGTGCTAAGGTGAATTTACCGATCTACCTTGCTATAGAACCAAACAATGTGGATATATCCCAAAAGTATGTAGAGTGTGGGTGACCAAATAAATAAATTATCTATATTATAAAATCCCAGCTTAACATTTCACATACCGGTACAATTGAATATTTCACAAAATTATAAATAAAAGGTTAGGTTAGGAAGATTTTGTTTTATAAACTACTTAAAATTTTATTTAAAAATGGATTTATCGGTGTGGTTGGTATAATACCAAAGTACCTCCTTATCCTTTGCTTTATTTGCTTTATTTACTTGCTTTATCCTTTTAAGATTCTTTTAACTTTATTTTAACATTTTCTGTAGAATATTTAATATTTTATATAACATATGTAACAAAACATGTTGACCTTGTCTATTGTAATGTTTATATTACCAAACGACAATAAAGATTTATTATTATTATTATTATTACCTCATGATCATATAATCCATGCTCCTTACCGTTTTTAGAACTACAGCACTGAAATTAAACATGCACAGGTGTATTGAAAGAAACCTGATAACCTAGTGAAAATTATATTTGAGCGGAGCGAAGCGAAGCTCTTAGGGGTCGACTTCAATGCAAACTTTCTAACACCTTAACTCAATAACGGCTGAACATATTTTAGCCAAACTTACCAATGTTGTTTTGTCAAATGTTTGGAAGGTTTAGACAAAGCCAATTTCAATATTTGATAATACCTACAGGGTGTCTAGTTTATTTCCATTTTAAAATTAAAGACTAATTCCATATTTTTCAAGACTAGTTATTTTTCAACAAATAGTGAGTGTCGATACCAAAATCTATCAATTCTAAACGTAGTAAGTGGTGAAGGAAGTAGTAAAGGCTAGCAGTGCAGAGTGTGGGAACGCTTTGGGGCAGTTAGATTAACGTATCTAAAATATTAAAATGCTATGGGAAGGAAGGAAAACAAGTCCACGACGTAGGCAGTGGTGGAGGAAGTAGTAAAGGCTAGCAGTGCAGAGTTTTGGAACGCTTTTTCTAAAAAAATTTAAGTTTTGGTACCTGTTTAGCTCTAATTTTGAAGGCGGTCGAAATTCATTACTTTCTTACGACTTTTCCTGACCTTTAAAAATCCCCGACTTTTACTCACCCTGCAGGCCTAAATGTACAAAATTTAAGAAAACAAACCTCATAAGGTATGGTGACATGACAACTATCTATATATATAATACGCTAAGCCGATTTTTGTAAACAGAACTCCTCTCTCATTTTTGGACCGATTTTGACGATTAAAGTGTCAAAAGAATGGCCCTGATCTGTAGTTTTGCAAAGTCTTTTTCATTTTTTTAGCGAATTTCCCATATAGGGAATAAGCTATTACCGTAGTACTCATGGTAAGACCTGGACCCGGGACCAATTTTTTTTTTCGTTTTGAGGTCCCTAGAGGCCAAAAATACCATCCGTTCAAATTCATATATATATATATATTTATATATATATACTTTTGTGCCCACCCGGTTTGGCAGTCAGTGCGCTGGTAATTTACTCGGTGTGGCAGTCACCCGCCCGAAAGCCAGTCAGCTCTCCCATAAGCCAGTCAGGTATGGCTTCCCGTGCACTTTATACGTATGAAAACAGCAAACCGGTGCTGCTGCCTGTGTCGATAAGCGTAACTGCAATACCAATGCGGAGACTGTCTCATCGTGTGTTCTATCGTGGAGTAGTGTAGCCAGTACGGCACCCTACCCTACTTTGTAGCGGTAAAACCCAGCGGTCTGTAACGTTCGTTTACTCTTTGTTACTATTTGTGTTGGGATAGTGATTAACTACGTGTTAATGTTTAAACATGTTCATACTCCAAATAAATATGATGCCTCTCTAATAAGGATCGTCGAATATTAATTAATTATAATTGGTTGAATCTTGATCCTACCCGTTCATCATCTCATATTTTAAGTTATTTTGATTTTTTTTACCTTCAGTTGAAATTTTAGTTTCTCCTTTATACAATATTTTTTATCCTAGTATTTACAGTGTTTCCACGGACCGGGAACTATACGGATTTTCTTTATCTCGAGAAATATACGTGAATCTTGTCCGAGATACTGGAACTGTTTTTTACGCAATTGCGTAACGCGAAGGAGTAACTATTACATATGACAACGATATTATTCTATCTGATAAGAATAACCATGAAACTACGTTCGAAAGATAAAATATTTTTATAATAATTTTAATTTTACAAACAAACTATTACAGGAATTATATTTTGGGACGGATGAATGATAAGGAAGCAACAAAAAGTGGTCACGAGTGCAAATACGGTGGGGGGAGGGGGGTACAATATAACGAACGCCAGAAACGATTATTTGTTTACTTTTCAGATTCCTTATCAAATCTCTCTCTCTCTCTCTCTCTCTCTCTCTCTCGCTCCCTAACAATGTACAGATTGTGGACTTTACGATTTAAGTTTTCCTGCAATTATTTCAGTTCAATCCCATACCTATCCTTATGGTTTCCTATCTATTATTTTTCAAAATAAATAGTAAAGCAGGTTAAACTATTTTTTATTTTATTTTCTTGAAACCAAACACTCTTTACCATCCGGTATTCTGCAGAGTCAAATGTTTAACACTGTGTTTATAAAAATTGAATGGCCGCACAATTTTGTGTTTAATTTTTTTTTTTACTAATAGTAACTGGGATATTTATATATACCAATAAGTGCTGCAAGCTGTAATAAATGCTGCTGATTAATATCAAAACAAGTTATAATTTATTTTGTATAATACATCGGTCATTGAATACAAACCATAATGGGTTTTCTATTTGTAACTTTAACTTGCAAATACAGTAGAACCTCGCTTAACTGGAGTCGCATCATCATGATGCCTATATATTATATAACCTCACAAATCCCAAGAAAATGTTTTATTAACTGTGTTTTTCAGTCTAATATTTCGATATGAACGATATATTTAACTATTTACGGTAATTTTTATGTGCAGTAGGTTCCCAATTATTGAAATATTACAGTTCATTTAACAAAAATAAGATGGAAGCAAAACGGAGAAATATCGATCAGTATCGTCAAGGTCAACCTATACGCTCGCACCTACAGACTGACAATCTTGCACTGACACTGACATACTGACAATCGTCTGCTTCTGTCTGCTGTCACAACACTACAATATTTTGTGGTTGGGTCGTTGGGTGATTAGTAACCATGACAACTTGTGGATGTAGAGAAACCAAAGAAAGAATAGAACAAAGAGAAATAATAAGAGGTGTTTTACATCATTTTTATCTTTATCTTATTTTTATCATTGTTATTATTACCAGAAAGACTTAAGTACAGTACTATGATTTTATGGTGTTTTATGAGTTATTTAATATTTTTATCCCCATACTTCTGTTCTGAAACATCATGTAGTAGTAGCCTAGGATGACTACGGTATCAGTAGTCTTCTAGTCTACATTTTCATTTTGTTTTGTTCTTTACGTGATTTATTGCTGTACAGTAAGCAAGTTTTGTTTTGTTTGAGTAAGCATACGGTGTAGTTTTTATTAGTAAACCAAGGTTAATGACTTAACATATCACGGTTGCGCAATACCTATTGTATTTTGACTATGTAAAATGCAAATTTATAATCACGTTAACGTCCATTTATATAGTGTCCCGGAACGGCATTGTTCCTGAGTAAGAAACATATAAATATCATATTTAAATTATCCAGAAGTCCTTAGTTACTTACACGGGGAAAAAAGTTTTAGGCCTAAATCATTTGAGACCTGTACATTACATATTTTTGGTCGAGTTTTCGACCACTGGACGACCACTAGTTAAAGTTAATTGTATTACAACAATCTTTATAGTAAGCAATATAAGCTTGAATCGGACTTATCTGCCTTCAGCTAATCCATCATAAAATGATAGTACGTTAGAGAGTATGCCCATGCTGAAGTTTTACTTATACTTGAAGAATGACTTAATTTAGTACCAAGAAATAAATCACACCCCTTACACACACTGTGCTGTTTTAATGCTGTGTAGTTGATTGCTACTGTATTAACCTGTGATCGCATATTAATTCATTCATTAGGAACGTATTTAAAAAAATACTACTTTTATTTTTTTTTTATTTCTATGATTTATTTACAATAACAGAAATGTGTAAGATTAAAATAAATTAATGTGTTGCATTGTCCATTTAAAGTTACATCATAGTAAATTAAAATTCCACTGAAACTTAAACAATAAAAGCCGAAATTAGTTATAAAGAAAACACGAGTTTCCTTTATATTGCTTTTACAATCGAAATATACATACTGAGCCACGGCTCGGTCCCCCGGTACTTTTCATTTTAAATATTCAAATAAAGTCGATTATTTTTAATGTTTTATGAAACGTGACATAGCAAATTTCCACGGAACTTTTTTTGTCGGCTACTACTTTATTTTATTTTTTGGTCAGGTTAGTTTAAAAACAGTGGATTCTGTATACAAAAAGTGAAATGTTCTAAATCATATTTTTTTATTTTTGGCTTATGTACGTAATTTAAATTGTACGAGAGGGGCTTCCCACCGTGCCGGATTGCGCCGTGCGGGCATATTTTGATCCAGTGGCGGGTGTTGGGTGTTTTGAATAAGAATACTGAATTGCTCGTTTTAAGATCGTATCATTACAAATCCTATCATTTTAAGATTTGCTTACACTTACGAGAAATGCATTTTCCATTTGTACATTTCCCAGGTACAAATTTTATGAAATAACGTACATTATTGCGTTGTTTGACAAGTAGCTGGGGACCGAGCTTTGTTCGGGAAACTTTACACTTTGAGAGTATTCCTTGGTCAATGTAA